ACCTCGGCTAGAAACTTTAGGCCGTGACACTGCTCTGAGGAACGCCCTCTCTTTCCAGATCCATACTGATGTATACTGAGATGAAAATGACATCCAAGGAAGAAAAAGACAAAAAATAAAAGAATAAATGAGCTTTGGACAGTCTAGTTAGGAAAAGAATATAGCTAGGATATGTATGACATGGAAGTTTTTGTTTAAGAACTAAACTTACAAAATAAAATAACCTAAAAACTAAATATTCATTTTGAAAATGTTATGCAGATGTATTTGTTAGTGAATAAATATGAAAAAATAAAGGTGCTGTGGAAAATAATAGGTTCAAATTTAAATTCCACAAAATAAAATGTATCCACTTTAAAAAACACAACAACAAAAAGGGCATGCAGATAAATTATAAAGGTTTAAAAAACTATTACATTTATGTATGATATTTTGATCAGTAATGTATGCATATGTTTTATTTTTTTTATTTTTGCTCCAGTACATTTAACCTTTTGTTCAACTATTCATTGGGTGTTGAATTAGTTTGTGAATGTGTGAATTTATTGTTAAATATTGCAGGATTGGCTTTTCCAACTGTGCCTCAGAATTAATATTTGTGTAAATGGGAAAGTGTTGGCCCTCTTCTTTACCATCTGACCAGCAGTGCCCAGTAGCTGTGGGGTGAGAGGAACAGTGTGCTACTCTGAGCTCTGCGCTTATTGCCAACACTAAGGTCAATACACCATTTTCCCAGAGATGTGATGAACAGAACTATCTTCAAATCACAGGAGCTGCATCAGGGAAAATTGTTTTTATTTTGATACTTGAATGTTTAAAAACTTACAAAACGTGGAACATTTCAGAGGTCCTTAAAACTTCCCACTGACATTCTAACAAAGCCAAAAATAAAAAAGCTAATGCAGCCATTCCTTCTCTAGTTGCACAAAACCTATGAAAGCATTTTCGTTTGTGTCTCTATGTCCAGGAGCATGATATTAACATGTGGGTAATAATGGTGTGGAAAGAATGAGTGAGTAACGACTAGTCTTGCTTGTGCAAAATTATGTTCTTGTCTAATGGTCTAAGCATCTATCAACCCTCAGGCTTTAATTACTCTGTGAGGATAATGAGTCAAATCCAATCAGTTCCCTCTCTTGCTCTTAATTTGTATGGAGCTTCTATTTTGAAGCCAACCACTTGAAGCTCTCACACCAGCTACCCTGGAGTAACACCAGGCTTCTGTTAGTGTTGTGTGTTTGTGCATGTGACCTTTGCCTCCTGCACACCAACATAGAAATGCAAATTACATTTTAATTGCTGGATTCAATATTCTCACATTAATCTATGTGTGAAATGGTAAATGTCTCTTGCAAATCCTGTGAGTCGGACAGATGAGTCACACTATGACTTCATGAAACTACATTAACTTCTGCTAAGAAAGAGTCTTTGTCATTCAACTATTGAGTCAGACATACAAAGCTAAATGGTCAGGTGTGTCTTGTGTGTAGGTGTGTAGAGTATGGGTGTGTGTGTTTAAAGAGATTCCAAAACCTTAATGGATTCCTGCGGAGTGAAGGACAATCGTTGCCCATGGCCAGTCCAAGCTTATCCTCTGCTCATCTCATCTCAGCTCAGAGGCAGCCGAATCTCCAGCTAGGCCTTGGGCCATCTGGCTGCCACTCACCACACACACACACAGACACACACACACACACACACACACACACACCCAGACACACCCCCACTGGGAGTTGCATGTGCGTGCGGTTGCTGACAAATAAAAACACTGAATTCCAGATTTCATGCTTGCTTTAGGGAAACACGGTTTTAAAAAAATCCATCCTTAGTCCTACAAGTTGTCAGGAATTGTTTGAATAAATGTAAAGTACACACATGTAAAACACAACATAATACGCAGAAAGCAGGGATTTTCTGATGCCAATAACAGAAAAGTTCTACTGTAGAGGCTGATGACATCACTCTAATGCAAGAGTTCAATCATGGATTTGCTCAGACATAGCCAAACATGAATACAGAAAAGAGTTATTCCTGTCAATAATAAAATAGTAGTCATTGAAGTTTGATATTCTTAAAGCCATTTTCTGTATAAGAAAAACTAACACCTATAACACAGCATGTATTTTTATGAGGCAACACTAGGAGCAGATGCATACTTAATCGGCAAGATTCTGCCAAGCGCTGTACAATCTGCTCTTATTCCTTTATTTATTTCTGTGTTGGCCCCTTGATAGAGTAGTTACCTAATTAGGGTAGATATGGGTGAGTTACTAGGACCTAGGCTGTGATTCACAGTTTATTATTTATCATTAGATTCAAATAAATCATACAGAATAGCCTTATATTTGAGCAAAACACAATGGTTAATGAAAGGGTGAATGATGTCTAAAGCAGTGATGATGTTTGTTGAAAATACACATCTATGACATTAACTATCAGCTGTTTTCCCTATCTGGATATTTTATCTTGCAAAAGCAACAAGGATACAAACAGTGATTAATATCACTAACCTTTTCTTTTAGTTCTATTTCTCTTTGTCTGCATGCTGTGGGTCAAGAGTGCCAAAAATACTACAAATGACAATGAATGATGATGCAGTGCATGTCTGCTTGGGGCAAGTAACTGGTGTTCATAGAGTTGGATAAAGTTATGTCAATATACTTAAGAACAGCCAGTTTAATTGTTGGGTAATTATTTTTGAATAGGTATATTGCAAGTTATGAGTCTTTTTTTGTTGTTGTTGAAAACTCCTGTATTGCTTCTCTATGCTTAGTAAAAGAAAGTATTGTTAGAAATTTCATAATTAACATCTTAAGTTGGTCTACCATCTGTCTGAACTATAGTTTGCTTACAGCAGTAAGTTCAGCTTAAACATCTTATTTAAATATTTGCATTCATAGTTTGAAAAGTGGTGCAACTATTGCTTCAACCCTCTCATTTCTCTTTATCCAATTGCAATTTACTAATGATTGATTCAGTATGAACTTGTTATACTGTCCAAGAGGTAAACCAAAGGTATGAAAGATTCTAAAAAGTGTGTAATTAGTTTTAGCAAAGGTAAAGAATGCTTTTCTGTGTTGCATTGGTGTGCATTTTAACTGGACTCAAAATGAAAACTGCTGGTGGCCCTCTTCATTTCTTCCCTCCTCTTGGCGTATTATATGGTTCTAATTGCGGGCCAGCTGTACACTGTTGTGTATTTACACTGCAGGGTAGTTAAGAGAACAAGGCCACACACTGGCACTACGCATTGTAATCCCACTGTGATACCACAACTCGGTATGCGTGTATACATAGAAGTGTGTGTGTATGTGTTTGACTGAAACATGCACACCAGTGTGACGGCGTATGTGCTAATTTGCTTGTGTGGGGTTTTTTTGCCTTTCAGTGTGGATGTGTTTGTCTGGCCTCGCCTGCTGTTTGCATCTCCGTGTGCTTTAATTAGTATGCGATTTTTGCATCAAGGCTTTTGTGATTTGGCACTGGCACTCCATGCTGGCGAGGAATAAAAGATCTGAAGTCTTTCTGTGCTAGTCATTCAGCCCTAATGGCTTTAGTTACACAACTGAACTGAAGTCCCTATTGCATAAACAAGTGGCATTTAGAAATATGAGTGAGTCCAATGTGAGTGAGTCATATTGCACAGTTTCATGACTGAAATGACTGACGGTGACATTAACCCAGATGGACACTCGTCCTGAATGGACAGCATATGAAACTTTAGCAGTGTAAGCTCAGTTTCAGGATGGGAAAGCGCTCTGTGTATTTTAGCACTAACTGTAAAGGAAAGAGAAGCTGACTCAGTGCCCTTGTCCGCTGGACCTGTCTTGTGTGTGTGTGTGTCTTGGGTGGGGGGGTATGGTGTGCAATGAACGACTCAGTTTACTGAGAACTTCCTGCTTATTAAGGTAGAGCTAGTGCTCCTCTGTCTAAATTTGACAATACAGTATGCTCACAGTATGCTCTGCATGTCCAAATCTTTCCTACTGAGATTGGAAAGAAGATTTCAGTGAAAGATGGCTGGTCTTTCAGTGAACAGCAGTGTGGGAAGAATCTTCAATTCGTGCCTAGAGGATCAGGTATTTCAGGTCCATTGAGAGCAGCTTTAATTTCCCAATTATCCATTCCTCTATTTGCCTACACCAGCACTGAAAATGTTGCCACTCCCAGCCAAATGTTCATTTCTATTTTGTTATTTTTACAGTAAGCCTGATTATTTGAACAGTTAAATGCACATAGTTATACAGAGATAGAGAGACAATAAGTGACTCTCTCAGCGCCTCTCTGCAGCCCTCTTTCATGCCTCTCAGTCTGGCTCACCGATTAACCCTGAGTACCTCACTGTCCCATCTGACCCTTTCTCACTCAGAGCTGCTGCAGTACACTAAAATTCCTCTCAGAGGGCTGATTACTAGCAGTAGGCAAGCAAATGGTGAACAAAGCTAAGGTGAGGGTTTGCAAAGATTTACATTTTCAGTTTAGGGTTTATCCTTTCTTCTTCTACTATCACTTCCTCTTGAACTTAGAATGAATCCAAATTTTCAGCGCTGTTGCTTTATTTAGGTAAAATAAGCAAATAAAACCGGAAAGGACAAAGTCTTCCTCCGTGGTGTGGGAATGAGCATGATAAGCTGTTGCCTGGTTGTGTGTAGGAGTTTGTTAACATTTGAAACTCTCTCAGTTTGTTTCACAAGTGGTGCCATATCTCACTGGAGAAGCTGGTTTGGCTGCAAACCCCTCTAGGCCAATATGTGAGCTGTGATGTTCCAATGTGAAAATGGAACCGCCAGGCTGTGCATCAACAGTACGAGTGTGCATAAGTTGCTACTCGTTGAATGCATGGGAGTAATGGATAATTTATGTTCGACATCACTTGTTTAACCAGCTCTAGTCAGACACTATGTATGATAATAACAATGAGGTTGAATAATAAAAAGCCTTCTGAAGATATTGAAGCTTAGTGAATAATCAATAACCTGCTCTCATTTTTTCCATTCCAGCTCTAAGCCGATCAATGATGCCATTTGGCCTGATGCGCCGGGAGCTGGCATGTGAAGGCTACCCAATCGAGCTGCGCTGTCCGGGAAGTGATGTCATCATGATTGAGACGGCCAACTATGGCCGCACCGATGACAAAATCTGTGATGCGGATCCTTTTCAGATGGAGAATGTGCAGTGTTACTTGCCTGACGCCTTCAAGATAATGTCACAGAGGTAAGTATTGATCTGTTTGAATCTTGTGCATGTGTTTGTGCAGAGTCAGAGCCTGATATTGGCAGAGGAAACAAGATACGATTTCACAGCATAATCCCTGAAGAATTCCCATTTTTTTCCCATTGTGTTGCTCGGGCACCTACATCTTTTTGAAGGAAGTCCAACCCTCACAGCAATAAATTATAATTTTTTTTTAAATAGCGGTACAACACCAAAGCTTTTTTAGTGAAATATTTAACTCTATGATAGAGTTTTTATTTGCCTGTGTATGCATGAGTGGGTGTATGAGAATGCATGAGCTTGGGAATTGTTGCAGAAGCGTTTGTAGGGCTTCCCACTGTTGTTCTCCTTGTTTGAGCTCAGCATCTTCTTCCTCTGAGCTCAGATCAATGGGAACCCTCTCCCAGCTATCCATCACACATGTAATGGAGGCAGAGGCTTGGGGGAGAGTGCAAGAGAGCAAAGGAGGAAAGCAGCAGGCGGTGGAGGGGAGTATTGAGAAACTCAAAGAAGAAAAAAGACTTCCAGAAATGATGGGGTGATAGAGAGAGTGGAGCAGAGATTTCAGAAATGAAGTGAGAGAAAGACTGCACAGCGGAGAGATACTCAATGCTGGATTTAAAAAATAACTATCATATTGAGAAACTTTAAGTGCATGCAAATGAGTACCTTTTTCTCTGTGTTGATGTTGCTCAGGGTGTGCAGACATGAGAGAGTATGCAGAAATTGTATTTAGATGTAGAAGTAATATGCAATTAAGTGTTCTACTAAGTTTGCAGTGTAGAGTATTTGCATTAAATTCTCCCTCACCCACCCAATTCGCCCTTCCCTGTTCTCTCACCTCTAATTGCTCCCACTCACAATCCCTCAGGAGGGGAGGCTCTGACGTCACCCACCCACTCTCTACCTCCCTCCTTGCTTCTTTCTATCCTTGATCCTGTTCCCCATTTTCCCTTCCCTGCCTTTTCCCACCTCCCCTCGGGTGTAGCTGTCACATGATGTAGTGTAGTGTGAAATTACTCCCTTCCTCGCCATTCCCTCTGTCTCTCTGAGCCTGAAGATGTTTCTTTTATAACCACTCCTCTTTGTCTTTCTTACAATGGCACTCATCATTTTTTATCACTTACTCCCCTTCTCCTTCCTCCTCTCTCTTCTTTCCTCCCCTCCCCTTGTCCATCATATCTCTCAGGTGTAATAATCGCACTCAGTGTGTGGTGGTCGCGGGGTCAGACGTGTTCCCAGACCCCTGCCCAGGGACCTACAAGTATTTGGAGATCCAGTATGAGTGTGTCCCCTACAGTAAGTACTGAGACCCCGTCACCTCCTCTGGCTTCCCCACCCCTCTCGCCCCATTCATCACCCCTCCCATCCTTACCTCTAGCTTAACCTCAACCTCCCTAGCCCCTCTTCAACTCCCCTCAAGAAGTGACAATTCAGTCTCTGGATTTCCTCAACACAATAAAGACAAAACAAGACACACACCAGTCCTCACCTGCTTTCTCTCTTTTTTTCTCTCTCTTCTTGCTCTTTGGNACACACACACACACACACACACACACACCCAGACACACCCCCACTGGGAGTTGCATGTGCGTGCGGTTGCTGACAAATAAAAACACTGAATTCCAGATTTCATGCTTGCTTTAGGGAAACACGGTTTAAAAAAAATCCATCCTTAGTCCTACAAGTTGTCAGGAATTGTTTGAATAAATGTAAAGTACACACATGTAAAACACAACATAATACGCAGAAAGCAGGGATTTTCTGATGCCAATAACAGAAAAGTTCTACTGTAGAGGCTGATGACATCACTCTAATGCAAGAATTCAATCATGGATTTGCTCAGACATAGCCAAACATGAATACAGAAAAGAGTTATTCCTGTCAATAATAAAATAGTAGTCATTGAAGTTTGATATTCTTAAAGCCATTTTCTGTATAAGAAAAACTAACACCTATAACACAGCATGTATTTTTATGAGGCAACACTAGGAGCAGATGCATACTTAATCGGCAAGATTCTGCCAAGCGCTGTACAATCTGCTCTTATTCCTTTATTTATTTCTGTGTTGGCCCCTTGATAGAGTAGTTACCTAATTAGGGTAGATATGGGTGAGTTACTAGGACCTAGGCTGTGATTCACAGTTTATTATTTATCATTAGATTCAAATAAATCATGCAGAATAGCCTTATAGTTGGGCAAAACACAATGGTTAATGAAAGGGTGAATGATGTCTAAAGCAGTGATGATGTTTGTTGAAAATACACATCTATGACATTAACTATCAGCTGTTTTCCCTATCTGGATATTTTATCTTGCAAAAGCAACAAGGATACAAACAGTGATTAATATCACTAACCTTTTCTTTTAGTTCTATTTCTCTTTGTCTGCATGCTGTGGGTCAAGAGTGCCAAAAATACTACAAATGACAATGAATGATGATGCAGTGCATGTCTGCTTGGGGCAAGTAACTGGTGTTCATAGAGTTGGATAAAGTTATGTCAATATACTTAAGAACAGCCAGTTTAATTGTTGGGTAATTATTTTTGAATAGGTATATTGCAAGTTATGAGTCTTTTTTTGTTGTTGTTGAAAACTCCTGTATTGCTTCTCTATGCTTAGTAAAAGAAAGTATTGTTAGAAATTTCATAATTAACATCTTAAGTTGGTCTACCATCTGTCTGAACTATAGTTTGCTTACAGCAGTAAGTTCAGCTTAAACATCTTATTTAAATATTTGCATTCATAGTTTGAAAAGTGGTGCAACTATTGCTTCAACCCTCTCATTTCTCTTTATCCAATTGCAATTTACTAATGATTGATTCAGTATGAACTTGTCATACTGTCCAAGAGGTAAACCAAAGGTATGAAAGATTCTAAAAAGTGTGTAATTAGTTTTAGCAAAGGTAAAGAATGCTTTTCTGTGTTGCATTGGTGTGCATTTTAACTGGACTCAAAATGAAAACTGCTGGTGGCCCTCTTCATTTCTTCCCTCCTCTTGGCGTATTATATGGTTCTAATTGCTGGCCAGCTGTACACTGTTGTGTATTTACACTGCAGGGTAGTTAAGAGAACAAGGCCACACACTGGCACTACGCATTGTAATCCCACTGTGATACCACAACTCGGTATGCGTGTATACATAGAAGTGTGTGTGTATGTGTTTGACTGAAACATGCACACCAGTGTGACGGCGTATGTGCTAATTTGCTTGTGTGGGGTTTTTTTGCCTTTCAGTGTGGATGTGTTTGTCTGGCCTCGCCTGCTGTTTGCATCTCCGTGTGCTTTAATTAGTATGCGATTTTTGCATCAAGGCTTTTGTGATTTGGCACTGGCACTCCATGCTGGCGAGGAATAAAAGATCTGAAGTCTTTCTGTGCTAGTCATTCAGCCCTAATGGCTTTAGTTACACAACTGAACTGAAGTCCCTATTGCATAAACAAGTGGCATTTAGAAATATGAGTGAGTCCAATGTGAGTGAGTCATATTGCACAGTTTCATGACTGAAATGACTGACGGTGACATTAACCCAGATGGACACTCGTCCTGAATGGACAGCATATGAAACTTTAGCAGTGTAAGCTCAGTTTCAGGATGGGAAAGCGCTCTGTGTATTTTAGCACTAACTGTAAAGGAAAGAGAAGCTGACTCAGTGCCCTTGTCCGCTGGACCTGTCTTGTGTGTGTGTGTGTCTTGGGTGGGGGGGTATGGTGTGCAATGAACGACTCAGTTTACTGAGAACTTCCTGCTTATTAAGGTAGAGCTAGTGCTCCTCTGTCTAAATTTGACAATACAGTATGCTCACAGTATGCTCTGCATGTCCAAATCTTTCCTACTGAGATTGGAAAGAAGATTTCAGTGAAAGATGGCTGGTCTTTCAGTGAACAGCAGTGTGGGAAGAATCTTCAATTCGTGCCTAGAGGATCAGGTATTTCAGGTCCATTGAGAGCAGCTTTAATTTCCCAATTATCCATTCCTCTATTTGCCTACACCAGCACTGAAAATGTTGCCACTCCCAGCCAAATGTTCATTTCTATTTTGTTATTTTTACAGTAAGCCTGATTATTTGAACAGTTAAATGCACATAGTTATACAGAGATAGAGAGACAATAAGTGACTCTCTCAGCGCCTCTCTGCAGCCCTCTTTCATGCCTCTCAGTCTGGCTCACCGATTAACCCTGAGTACCTCACTGTCCCATCTGACCCTTTCTCACTCAGAGCTGCTGCAGTACACTAAAATTCCTCTCAGAGGGCTGATTACTAGCAGTAGGCAAGCAAATGGTGAACAAAGCTAAGGTGAGGGTTTGCAAAGATTTACATTTTCAGTTTAGGGTTTATCCTTTCTTCTTCTACTATCACTTCCTCTTGAACTTAGAATGAATCCAAATTTTCAGCGCTGTTGCTTTATTTAGGTAAAATAAGCAAATAAAACCGGAAAGGACAAAGTCTTCCTCCGTGGTGTGGGAATGAGCATGATAAGCTGTTGCCTGGTTGTGTGTAGGAGTTTGTTAACATTTGAAACTCTCTCAGTTTGTTTCACAAGTGGTGCCATATCTCACTGGAGAAGCTGGTTTGGCTGCAAACCCCTCTAGGCCAATATGTGAGCTGTGATGTTCCAATGTGAAAATGGAACCGCCAGGCTGTGCATCAACAGTACGAGTGTGCATAAGTTGCTACTCGTTGAATGCATGAGAGTAATGGATAATTTATGTTCGACATCACTTGTTTAACCAGCTCTAGTCAGACACTATGTATGATAATAACAATGAGGTTGAATAATAAAAAGCCTTCTGAAGATATTGAAGCTTAGTGAATAATCAATAACCTGCTCTCATTTTTTCCATTCCAGCTCTAAGCCGATCAATGATGCCATTTGGCCTGATGCGCCGGGAGCTGGCATGTGAAGGCTACCCAATCGAGCTGCGCTGTCCGGGAAGTGATGTCATCATGATTGAGACGGCCAACTATGGCCGCACCGATGACAAAATCTGTGATGCGGATCCTTTTCAGATGGAGAATGTGCAGTGTTACCTGCCTGACGCCTTCAAGATAATGTCACAGAGGTAAGTATTGATCTGTTTGAATCTTGTGCATGTGTTTGTGCAGAGTCAGAGCCTGATATTGGCAGAGGAAACAAGATACGATTTCACAGCATAATCCCTGAAGAATTCCCATTTTTTCCCATTGTGTTGCTCGGGCACCTACATCTTTTTGAAGGAAGTCCAACCCTCACAGCAATAAATTATAATTTTTTTTTAAATAGCGGTACAACACCAAAGCTTTTTTAGTGAAATATTTAACTCTATGATAGAGTTTTTATTTGCCTGTGTATGCATGAGTGGGTGTATGAGAATGCATGAGCTTGGGAATTGTTGCAGAAGCGTTTGTAGGGCTTCCCACTGTTGTTCTCCTTGTTTGAGCTCAGCATCTTCTTCCTCTGAGCTCAGATCAATGGGAACCCTCTCCCAGCTATCCATCACACATGTAATGGAGGCAGAGGCTTGGGGGAGAGTGCAAGAGAGCAAAGGAGGAAAGCAGCAGGCGGTGGAGGGGAGTATTGAGAAACTCAAAGAAGAAAAAAGACTTCCAGAAATGATGGGGTGATAGAGAGAGTGGAGCAGAGATTTCAGAAATGAAGTGAGAGAAAGACTGCACAGCGGATAGATACTCAATGCTGGATTTAAAAAATAACTATCATATTGAGAACATTTAAGTGCATGCAAATGAGTACCTTTTTCTCTGTGTTGATGTTGCTCAGGGTGTGCAGACATGAGAGAGTATGCAGAAATTGTATTTAGATGTAGAAGTAATATGCAATTAAGTGTTCTACTAAGTTTGCAGTGTAGAGTATTTGCATTAAATTCTCCCTCACCCACCCAATTCGCCCTTCCCTGTTCTCTCACCTCTAATTGCTCCCACTCACAATCCCTCAGGAGGGGAGGCTCTGACGTCACCCACCCACTCTCTACCTCCCTCCTTGCTTCTTTCTATCCTTGATCCTGTTCCCCATTTTCCCTTCCCTGCCTTTTCCCACCTCCCCTCGGGTGTAGCTGTCACATGATGTAGTGTAGTGTGAAATTACTCCCTTCCTCGCCATTCCCTCTGTCTCTCTGAGCCTGAAGATGTTTCTTTTATAACCACTCCTCTTTGTCTTTCTTACAATGGCACTCATCATTTTTTATCACTTACTCCCCTTCTCCTTCCTCCTCTCTCTTCTTTCCTCCCCTCCCCTTGTCCATCATATCTCTCAGGTGTAATAATCGCACTCAGTGTGTGGTGGTCGCGGGGTCAGACGTGTTCCCAGACCCCTGCCCAGGGACCTACAAGTATTTGGAGATCCAGTATGAGTGTGTCCCCTACAGTAAGTACTGAGACCCCGTCACCTCCTCTGGCTTCCCCACCCCTCTCGCCGCATTCATCACCCCTCCCATCCTTACCTCTAGCTTAACCTCAACCTCCCTAGCCCCTCTTCAACTCCCCTCAAGAAGTGACAATTCAGTCACATGTACACATTTCTCTCTCTGGATTTCCTCAACACAATAAAGACAAAACAAGACACACACCAGTCCTCACCTGCTTTCTCTCTTTTTTTCTCTCTCTTCTTGCTCTTTGGCACATTGCAGAGACACAAACCCGATCACAGAGCACTAAACCTTTTTTTTCCATCAACAGAGTGATGCATCAGCACCTGAGGGGGTTTTCACATGGGGGGAGATGGTCCACAAACACTGGGTCTGATAAGCACTTCACTCACATCTTCTGAAAACATGGGGTCAGCCCCTATTGGTGATCACAGCAGTGTAAGAGACACCGCCCCAAACTCACGCACTGATTAACCCGGGGGCGTACTTCTGCCTTTATCTGCAGCCAAACACCTTTGCTGTCCCTCTGATTCTCAATAAATTTTCAAATTGGGCTCTGCGAGACTTTCAGGTGGGGGGCATAGAGTGTTTGCCACACCTCACAGAAGAAAATGTTAACACAAACAGGCAAAGGGCTTATTTTAGAGCACATGACCTGTGGTGCTGCACATTTTACTGTCCCCATGGTAACGGCTGGCTTTCTGGCTGCTCTGCTCAAAAATCTGAGGCAGGTGTGGGCTTCACAGATCCACACTCACACAAAACAATAATAATAATGATAAAAAAAAAAAAAGATATGAAGGGGGTTGGGGCGGGGTGCACAAATTGCTCTTTTTCTCCTGGAGTCTTCCTGTCTGAGTGAGCATCTACGCACAGATGAGAGCACACTCACGCATCCCAAAGAGCAGAGCTGGCTGTGATTATATGGTGTTGTGTTGATCCTCGCTCATGTGAAAATCTCCGCTCGGTCTACCCCTCTCCCTCTCATGTATTATAACGCTCAGCATTGATCCCTTCACTGTGTGCAGGACTGCCTGTGTGAAGAAGGGAAGCAGTGGAACACCCCTCCACTGAGCAGAAGTGTTTGACTTTTGGGGTTAAATGCTTAGATAAAAACTATATTACATTTACGGTGTGGGTGTTGTTTCATTCTTTGAATATATTAGATTATTGTGTCCTTTTTTTTAGACTTGCAGGTTGAAGTGAACCGCAGCCACCAGCTAACTTCTTTCTCTTCTCTTTGCTTTCATCTTCATCGCCTTCTCTCAGCGGTCATTTTGACTGTTATTTCACACAGTCAGTTTGACCTCTTTTCATGTCTGTCTCTCTTCTTTCTTTTTATCAGCTTTTCAGTATGCTTTCCAAAGTTTCAAACCCTTTGCACAACCATTTTGCTTTCCTTTATCTCATTTTTCCCTGCTTTTCAATCAATTTTTCCCTCTTTTCGTTCAGTTCTTACTCTGTCTCTTTGGGTTACTTTTTTTTGCAGGTGGGACAAATCAAATCCAAAACACTCATGGATTTCCAACAACCTAGTTACTCTCTGCTCTTGTTCTGCTCAGGGCTTTCTACCTTCTCTTCTTATTTTCTTTCCATAGGTGAAAACCGCGGTCACACTGACCATCTTCTTCAGTCACTCTTATGGAAATCTTGCACCATTGTCTTGCACGCTTGTCTGTCCTTTGCTGAGGGACACAGTTGCATCAATCAGATGTTCCAGTTTCCTTTCCCTTTTATATCCTGACCTTGTTTTATTCTAATTGACTTTCAAAGGGAGCTTGTTGTCTCCCTGCCAAACAATCAAAGTGTATGATGAATTGATAGCTGCTGGCTTGCATTTCTCCCTCTCTGTTTGTTAAAACTTTGCTGATTGTGAACAAGCGATGAGCATAGCAGAAAATTGAAAGCTGATCCTGATGCGATGGGAGGTTTTACTTATCTGAGATAAAAAAGAAAAAGCCAATAACTTCTGTCCTTGTGATGCTCTGAATAAACAAATGCAGACATGAAATGAATTCATATACAGCTTAGGCTGTCGGATGTTCTTTGCATTTGGACTCATATGACAAAACGAACACGGCTTGACATTAAAACTTCAAAGTTAAACTTTTCATTCCGAATCCTTTTCGCCAACGCACCATACGCCACTCAACTCGGCCACTTTTAATTACCAGGAGAAGGAGGTGCGCTGCTCTCTTCAGTTCTGCCTCAGCAGAGATTTGTCAAGATTAATTGAATTTGCTGCTGCTAATCGCTCTGATAGTGCCCCGTCGTTCACGTCTGGCTGGGAATGCCGGGCACTTGGGTACCATCTGATGCATGTTTTTTGTTGGTTGTCTCAACAAAAGGGTGAAGTAAGTGATATGTAAAGATTACGTGTCATAGCAGCTGCGATGGTGTGTAGCCAAGTTGATGGCTGGGTGGGATTTTGCATTTGACAGGGTCCTCTGTGTGAGTGGCGCTTGTGTGACACAGGCGCCATGTTGCCAGTCACCTGAAACGGAGAGGTGACAGCAACAGCAGATTTGACACGTACAACACAGCTCCGCTGTCTGAGCTCATATGACAGTGGGACAACTGTGTAAGGTCACTGTGTCTGTTTGGTTGCTTTGGCAAAATACAACCACTAATAAGTCAAACCATGGCTCATTGGGCCAAAAGGGGCCTTATTTGGCATGTAGCATTGTTTTTTTTCCCACTTGGAAAAGAGCAAAAGCAAATGGCTCAACTGAACTGTTGTTTCACACTGTCACATCATGCTGTAGCCTGCTGGATTTCATTAAGACATCACAGATCCATAAACACAGCTGCAGCATGTGTTTACTGCAGTGAGACAACCCCACTGCAGTCTTAACGCAGAGTGAATAGTAAACCCTGCCTATGAGACAGCTCTACCTGTTCCCCCTCCCTTTCCAGAATACATTGCTAGATCATTATTGATTCTGAATGGTCTCCTTTAGGGTCATCCATACTTGCCAGACCAGAACATTTAGACCTTGTTTATATGCACAACACCGGTTGATATACTGTATAGCAGAGACTCTCCTTACCTTAACTCTGCAGTCTGCTGTATTTAATTCAGATTTCGCTACTCTCCCACTGTTTCACTTTATGAAATAGATTCTTCCCCCAGAAATTTATTCAGCACTACCTATTCATTACAAGACATCCGCTTTTTCGGACAAAAAGCTGCTGGAAATGAGAGTTGACTTGTCGGGAAGAATTTGTCAGTAGAAGGAATAATGGCATTGTAATATGACAAGTTTTCAGGGGAGGAGAGGCAGCACTTTGATGTAGCTTAAAATGAAAATCTATTAATATGTATAGGGACACCATTAGACGTGGGACTCATAAATGTTTGGTGAGTGAGAGGCAGGAGGCTCCGCTCTGGCCTTGGAATGGGATGACTCTTTTCTTATAAAAACTGAAAGGGCGAAGAGGGGAAAACAGAGACAGGAGAGGGTAAGAGAAACTGAAGAGGACACACAATCTCTCAGCACTTGGAAGAGGAGACAGAACAATAGACGTGTGTGCAGTTTACAGTGTGTGGTTCTAGTTGCACTCATTGCTGTGGGAGTAATTGATAGGGTTGTAGAGAGCACTGAGCAGAGTGATTAACGGCAGAGAGGGCAGCGGCTTATTTCTCAATAGAGCCCTGAACAGAAATGCTAAAGGAATCAGACAAACAAGCAAGGTGGCCTTAATCTAACCTTCAGCTCTCTGTGATGACAGTTTGATGAGTTTCTGTCTTTTCTTACTGTTTGTTTCTGTGTGTTTGTATGTGCTCACAAGAACGCGTGATTGTGTTGTGCCAATTTGTGCTTTGCACTTTATTTTTCAGGAAACCAAGAATAGAAGAAATGGAGTCAACACAAGTCTTCCACCTCCCTGATGTTATCTTCTTTCTCTCCACAGAAGCCAAGAACTTTTCTTTCCTTTCTCTTTCTGTCTACATGCCGTTGCAGTGTATCACCCACCATTTCCGCCTTTTCTGGGGGAAAAAAATGTATTCTCAGTTGAGCTTTTAGAAAATTGCATTCAGTTTTCTATTTTAAAAGGAATGTAGGCTCAAACTGGAATGGAGCGGAAAAGCTCTGTATCAGCATTTTTCTCAGACAGGGAAAAATAGAGAATTCAGTGCCCTGCAAAAGTATTCAGACTCATTGGATTAGTTTCACATTTTGACACGGTAAAAAATATCATAAGATGTTATTTGTGAAGGGACGGGACAGCTCTACATCCGCTGATTTTTTTAAAACAAATGAATCTGAAAGGAACATTTGGTTTCAACCCCCTCAACACCTTTGGCCAAAATGAAAGCTTCTCTTTTGGGGCCCTTCCTATTACCGGTAATAAAGGTTCTTTAATTGAAAGCTTCCATGTGGCTCTAGTTGTATGTGTAGGTTCTTTTTAATCCAGAAAGGTGCAACACTAAACCTGTTTTAAGTCATTTGTAGACTCACAGGTTTTCTTATCGTTTCATGCTTTATTTAGCTCTGTCTGTCTTCCCTGGTTAATCTTGACCCACTTCCCTGTCCCCGTTAAAGAAAAGCATCCAAGCTACATGATGCTGCCATGTTTCAGTGTGGTGATTCTAAATTCAAGGTTCTGTACAATGTTAGTTTTCTGCAACACAGTCTTTTTCATCTTGGCAAAAAGTAGAATTTGGGGTCAGCCTTAGCAGTACTATCTGGGTTTCCTCTAGATGTCTCTATGACTTGAGGCATGTAATGCTATCCCCACCCAGGGACCAGACTATAGGTTGAACAGTGCTATATGAGATATTCAAATATTGATTTAAATATTTAAATATCGACTGTTTATAACCTAACCCTGAATTCAATTTCTCTCAGTCTTTATGATGCATTTTTTTCATTAATTCTCTTTGACAATGCTCTGAGGCCTTCCTGAACAGCTAGATGTGTACTCAAGTTATATATCTTACAGGTATATTCTGTTTTTTATTTATTTTTCTTTTGAATATTTTTCTGAATAGAGGCTTGGGATTTTATTTAATGGCTGTAGATTAAGGAGGTTCAATACAATTGCAAGGTAGATTATTTGTCTTTGCCTGTCACTTAAAATCCAAATCAAATGCCTTGACAGATTGAAACGTTCGAAATAAAAACTTTAAGAGCTCTGAATACTTTTGAAAGGCACTTTTTTAAGTTCTGCCAAATAGATGCCTCTCCTTCCACCTGCTCCACAGAGAGGTTAGGAATGAATGAAAGTTCTGGATGCGAGTGCTATCCATTGAGTCAGTCTCTCCCTGATCTAACCTTGGAAGTAATGACTGAACTCACAGTTGGGGGGATGGCCTGTTTGTTTGTTTTTTACTATCACACCTTGACTGGCTTTGCAGCCCTGCTTTCCAGTTCTCACCCTTCAACAATTAAATTGGTCCAAAGTTTCTTAGTCTCAGATATTGTGATTATTATTGTGTCTGGTTTGATCTTGCGATGAGATGATAAATGTAAATCATGATGCTCATTATGCCAGTGTCAGGGATCAAGGCGGTTTTAGGCTATTTTGTTTTTCCCCAAATGTTTCTTTGTCTTTTTTAGTTAATCTTGTCTTTCTCTCATTCTTTTACTATCATGATGGGCAACCCAGGGAGGTGTTGTGACATACTGCAGGAATCCCTTGAGACGCAAGACTACATGTGACATATACACCACAATCACACCCACAGTGGGGATCTGACAGCCATGTGACTTTTGACAAGCCTCTTCTTGGAAAACACAGATTTACTCGCACACAGCACTTTTGGCTGTGTAAACACACAGGGAAGGTGCTATAATTTCGAAGGAGGAGCTGAGATTCTAGTACGTACATCATGTAGTCCCCATCTGACACCATCATGGATATCTAGGGACCCACACTTTACCTGTTAGTGCCAGCTGAGGCCTCACTGTGATTCAGCACACACATCTATTGATTTGTGTGTTATGAGCTCACTGTAGACATTTTTCTTATCCCTCTCTTGTCCTAATCCAAACCCCCACACTCACTGACACACACCCTCTCTGGCTTTGCCTCTTGGTCTCTTACTGTGTTTCTGAGGCGTTCCACTCTGTCAAGCCCTCCCTTTCCCCTTGTTGTTTGTTCTCTATTTCTTTGATGAGCCAGTCTCGGCCAGGCAAGCCTGGAGCTCCCCACTGATTGGATGGTCGATGGGTTGAGTGTTTTTTGCCAGTCTCTATGGCAAGCGTCTCTGGCTCTATAAATCAAGTAAGGCCAGAAGAACCGCTTTCTTTGGGTCAAGAAACTACTCTAAGGTGAACGTTGACTATGCAAGGAGATAAAGCAAGTGAGAAAGGTTTCCTAAACTCTCAAAAGACAACTGGTCACAGAAAGATAGCTTCATCACCACCTCTCCATCTGCCATTTTTCTGTCTTCTGCTCTGCCTTTCTCTGTGTTTTCCTTTTCACAGCTAACCAGAACAACGCCTGCGATGCTCTCCGCTGGGTTTCTCTCTCAAACAGGTTTTCTGGAGCTGTGCTTATGGCGCAAAGGGAAAACGGGAGGGGGGAAGGAAGGGGTATCGTGGTAAGATGGGTGAAGCTGGGGCTGAGAGTGTGTGCTTTGGGTGGATTGTGTTGTCGGGAGGGGTTATTGATAAATGTGAAAGGAAATGGAAAAAGATTAAAACCCAGGTCAGGCCATTTTGCCCCTTCTCATTTTCCATTCAAGCCATCCTTTATGTGAGTAGCCAACCATAACGCAGACAGATAACTTGCTTTAAAAAAAACAGAGCGTAAGAGAAAGGACAGCGTTTTATTTAATCTCAATTTTCTCTTTTTTTTCCTGCATCTGTTTTTTCCTTTCATTCTCTTTACTTTCCCTCTCTTTTTCTTCCTGTCTCTCTGTATTATCTCTCTGTCTCCTTCTTTCTCCTTTTTTTCCGATGCTTGAATAGAAGTGGATCAAAAAGGTAAAGTCCACAATGAACATAACAACCACAGCTCGCCCCTTCCTCCCTCTTCCCTCTCCTACTCCCTTCTACCTTCTCCCTGTTCCTTCCTAACCCTGCACCCTGTGTAGTGGTCATGTTTGATGTTGATATCCCTTCCTTTTCTTTCTCAGTCTCTAATCGCCTCCCTCTCCTTTCTTCTGTAACCAAAACTCTAAAATCCTTCTAGATCTCCTCCTTGGTTTTGATGACGAACACCCTGACTACCAAAACACACTCATATACATGAACAATCACACAAAAAAGCTAATTTCAGGTCAGTTCAGTGTTTATGAGAGATAAATTAGGCTGCATCATTTAGCCTTTTAAAAAGTAGCATAATCACATTTTTTTTGTGCCAAGTCTGTCCATTGTTCCATCTTAAACAAAAACTTCATCCTGCCACTGTTGCCTCAAACATTTTATAATAGCTTTTCCCCATGATTCTGATTTTTCTGTCCCACATAGATCTGTCCTTGTAGATTTAAGAAAAAAGAAAGTCACCATCTTTAATTATATTACTCAACTGCTCCTTTTATCCATATTGTATCTTTTTATTTTTTCTCTTTTCTTTTTTCTTTCCAGGACTAACATTAAGTGTATTGTTTTTAGTAATCTGGAGGGAGAATGTAGTGTTAGGATAACTCAGTAATTAGACTAACTTGCTTTCATATTATTGTTAACTGCATCCCATTTTCAGGTACTTCAGCATCCTTCTCATTCTGTCCATATTAATTCTTTTGAAATGATAATTATTACATTTGAATACCTCGCTTCCACTCTCCACCTACTTACAGCTCATCTTTTTATGTTGTATTTTCGATCCTTCCTTCTTTTTGCTCTCCCCCTTTCCAGTATAATTGGTTTATCTCTCAGATTGCACCTGGCCATTACAAAAAGCCACAGGCTTCTTTGAAGATCTTTTGCAGTTCTCTTCGCACTCCCTTCTTTACCATACTGTTTCTGATTTATTTATTGTTAACACATATGTGCCCCCAGGTAGTCCCTTACACCTTAAACCATCATCTTCTTTAGTCCATCTCTTCTGGTTCCTCATGTGACTAAGAAGAGTTGCGGGGATGGGGGAGGGAGATGTATCCTCTGTAGGGAGCCCTTCAGCTTCGTAAAATGGCCTCTCTGATGCTGCCTGAGCCTTTCCAAAGCACTTTTAAAGAGCTCCAATCAGCACAGCCATGCACCTCAATCACAGAATTCTTAAAGTGCAAAAGATAGACTTGACCCTGTTCAAGGTCAGAGCAACAATAGTTGCAGATATTTCTAGCTTCCCAATGAGCTTCTACTCCCCCTTCCAGGTCCTCACCTTCTCTACCTTCTCTGAATCCCTCTCTTATCAGCGTCACTCTTGACCGTCCCTTTCCCATGCACCATGGCAGGATCCATGAGCTGGAGGAATTAAGTCTCATTTCAGCTGTCATTAACTGGTTAAGGGACTCCTTTGTCTGTTCTTACATCTGTGGCTTTTATTAACATGAATCATTGTCTACATTCTTTCCCACCTCAAGCAGCTATTTCACCTCACTTTTATCAAGCTTGTAGTGACGTAGAGAGCTACAGATCCTTTTTCCTCCTGCTTTCACCTCACCAATCTGATTGTATTTATTCACCATTCTTCCACCCACTAACACTCAAAGGAAAAACCTATTTCCTTTGCACTCCAGCCAATGTTTATCTTCAAACATTTCTCCACTGGTGTTGAATGTCTTTAAATTCTTTGAATGTGAATGACTTCTGTTTCCTGCTATTTGTGGAATTAATCATCCCTAATTGATCTGTGGAATGACAGAGTGGTTTTCCCGATGATGTTCAAGTTTCTGTGATGATGTAATAATTTAAGTATCCGCTATCGGTCTACCTGCTGTCAGTCCATATTAAGACTATACCGCCTACAGCTGCCTCTTCCATCCCATCACTTCCTCTGTCCCTTTTCTCACCCTACCCTCTACGAGTGCCAAAATTATCCTGGTATCTACTTTAACAGTGTTGGCAGGGCAAAATAGTGTTTACTTTACCCCATTTTGTTTACTCCAAACGAAGGACAAGCAAACAATTTAATAATTATTCGAACACAGTTAAAAATCCTATTATCAACAGGAAGGTTTTATATGCAGGACAAAGCCTAGCTTAAATAAAAGGCTTTCTGTGTGCCGATTGAAAAAGTGAGAGGAAATAAGTGAGAAAACAGAGTGCTGTGTGACAGAAAAATACAAAGAATGGCTGTGAATGGAAAAAAGAGAGAACAAGCAGTTGCTATAGAGACGTAGAGTCTAGCAGCATCCCCTCATTAAGAATGACCCACCACACACAAGCATGGTCATGTGACCAAGGTACTGCAGACACACTTTTTTGACGTAGGGAGATAGGGGATGGTTAAGAGATCCAAACTATACATGTAGGAATCATTGCTATTTTAATGTTTGGGGAAAAGAGGGGTAAATTAGTGAGCTTAGGAATGAAGAAAAAATAACTAATTGACTTTAAGAAAAAACGTTAAGAAAAAACCTCTAGAAGACTGAGAGCAAGAGTGAGGAGAGGAGGCAGCTTAAGAGACTAACATTACTAACAGGGAGGCTCGTTGTTGCTCCACCTCTTAAGCCTTATCCAGAATACAGTATGCCCCTCTGTTCTTTATATTTTCAGCTTCACACAGAGTTAGTAAATACTTTCAAAATACTTTCAATATATATATATATATATATATATATATATTTGTTTTGGTCTCAGTTAAGGGTATTATCTGGGGTTAGTGTTTGAGTTGATAAAGTTTTAAAACTTTCCTCTTCCATTGTCTGGATGGTGTGTTCTTGCATGCATTGTCTAAGAAAGTGTGTGTCTCAGAGTGTATGTTTGTTTATGTTTTTCTGTACTGTGATTTTATTCCTAAGACCTGACCCAGTATAGTCTAAAAGGAAGCGGAAACTCAATGGGAGCCCCCCTCCCCTTTCTTTCCTCATATACCTCTCTTCTTTTATCACTCTTTATCACTCCCCAGCAAATTAACTCACTCCTGATTCTGATTTTACAGGAAATAACCTATTTACTCTTTTACTCCACTCCTCTTCTTTTTGTGCACAACAGAACATGCTTACATCCCTCTTTCTGCTTTCTTCTCTGTTTCTTCTGTTCAGTGCAAACAAGCATGCAACACATTTGCACACATTCACCAAGGTGAAGATACACATACACACTAATTTTTGAATAAATTCAAGCACATGCAATCAGTTTAACGGCAAACACTCATGCACGCCAATTAACAGTCCAAGCAAGGATGCAGATTAGCATGACATGCTCCATTCTGCCCCCTGCTGAGTACTTGCGGCACCTGCCACTAACAGGTGGGGAATTCAATTAGAACAGCATGGCCACAGCAGTCAGTTTTTTGAGTGGACCACTACAGACTGGACAAGCAAATGCATTGGCGAGAAAAAACCTACGTTTCTTGTAGGTAAAGGAAAAGCACACCACTTAAGAAATACACTGCCATTCATTGGCAGGGGGTGTTCAGATCATCAAAGTGGAGCATTAGCCATCACCAAGATGCTGTCAAATCAAATATGAAAACAGCATGGGCTGCAGGCAACAGCCAAAATGAAAGATCTAAATTTAGCCAAAAGCTGTCAGTGTTCACTTTTACCAGTCGATCACGAATGGCACTAATGGGAGGCTTTTGCTGTCATTTTCCAGAAAGTTCTTGGGCTTTCAGTGTTTCATACAGGGGCCTCATATTGACAAATAAAATCTGACCTGTGCCTGGGAAAGGAATTATAGAGATAAATACTCAATTAATACAGCAGCATTTCGCAGCCTGTGTGGTGGTAATTGCAAGCTTGAGTGGGCTAGCTACAGCCTGTATTTTAATCCCTGATAAGGTAAGTTTCATTAGTCATTTGGCCGGTTTAGGGTAAAAAAAAAGTGTTGTGCGTGTGCTGCATGATAGCTTCACTGAAATGATCACGAGTCCAAGATTTCCGTAGCCAAGGAGGAATTAATCTATTTATCCATCTCACATAATCCAGATGGCTCTGCGGAAGCTAACCTGATCTACCCAGACTAGGATAATGCCTAATCTCAAGATTTATGCCTAATGCTTATTGCCTAATTCCTAATACCTCATTCATTCTGTGGTCATAATATCCTCTCCTACTATACCTCTCTGCAGCCAGAGTTCGGCTGCTCCAGCTCCTGCTGTTAAACACTTCACAGTTACAATTGGGAGGAAAGCAAAGTAAAGAAAGCCAAGAAGAGTCGGTAAACAGGAAAGCAGCCGGGGAAAACTGGGGAGTGCTGGTCAGACTTAATGAAGCCCCCCAGGCAGGGTTTGTAGGATGTGAAGCGTGGCCACTCTTTCTGTCTGCCATGTGAATGTGTGAGTAAGAGCATTTGTGCGAGTCTCAAGCTCTGTGGATGCAGCTTAGATGCCGCTGATGAGACCCTTTGACATTGAGCCAACCCCACCACCAGTTCATTAGATTCAACCAATGTACAATGATTGCTGGGAAAGAGGCGGAGGAAGACAGAGAAGGTCATGGAGGAGCAACACACATGGTCTCTGCTGGGTTCCTGAATTAGTGGACTGATGAACCATAAAGTATGGAATGCAAATAATTTGATCCACATCAAAGAGCTTTGGTGTAATGGTTCACATAATATTGTCACACAGGATTTTTGAGTGAAAAAAAAGTTTTGTTTTACTTTCTTGACAATCTTTAATGTCTGATTCAAACTAAAAGAAACCAACATAAACATTGCGTTAGTGCAATGTTTTAAGTTCTCAAAACGTGATTAAAATTTGACTTAATAACTGTGACTATATTTTTGCTTTAGGCAGTTAAATAGAAAGTGATACTTTCTTTTTCCATTTAGTTGTAGCTGAATGCCTGCATGTAAAGTGATAAAAGAATTTGGCTTGCTTATTTGTTTGCCTGTATCCTATATACTACCTTGAGGCACAGTGTTGTTTATTGGTTGCCAACATATCAAGTCTTTTTGCTGTTTATTTTACAATTCACGCTATGTCACGCTTGTATTTTTTAGGAAGTACCCTACGTCTGATGATTGTTTATCTCACTGGTAACTTCTACTGTATTACCTGTAGTTAAAAATCATAGTTTTAGCCTTTCTTTAAAGTATTTGACACTATTATCAATAACTGACATATTTCATTCACTCACAATTGTATCTACAAAGCAAACATTTTAAGCCTCAACACTTTCAGGCAAAGATTTTGGTTCAACAATGGAGCATGACAAGCCTCCTGCCTGCAAACGGTCTTTATTTGGTGTTTGTTTGTGCCTGACTGATTAGATTCCTGTTTGGCTGGCAGTCTCAATTCCTGTTGGACCCTTCAGACAGAACAGGCTGATTCCTAGGAGACTCAGAAGCACAGATCACCAGCCACTACCAGCAGCAGAACACCAGAAAGCACAAAGAGAGAGCTGGATTTCCGGTAGCCTTGATTTACTCCTCCATCCTCTCTGTTGGGATTCTCCTCTTTTCCCAGAATCCATGCAATATTCAAGACAGTTTGAGCCTGGACTGATCCGTCACTCAAACTGTTGCAGTTTGACAGGATATGTATAACTGTGTAGGCTTGTGTGTGGAGGCTTGTGTGGTGTCCCTGTGTGAATGGCAACCGTCTCAGTCTGTCTGCGATTCGATGTGTGCTGTCTGTGTCCAAATGTCCCTGCAGTATCTAATTAGTTCAGGGATGCGTTCAATCATGAGGTGACCAGCAGGTGTCTGGTTCTGCTGCAACCATGAGCCCCCGAGACACATAGATAAACTGGTAATGGAATACATGGGGACCATTCATCTGTTTTGTTCTGTAGAGCTTCCAATTCTGGAACTCCCTTGTCCCTTGCTGCTTTCTATAGCCGGGACCCCTGTGATGCCAGAATGCTGAGGATGTCCACAGGTTTCCTCATAGATAACCTGACACACCAGTTAGATCCCTTGGCAGCCTTGGACACACAACATCAGACAGCCAATTTACAACAGTCCCCAATGGATGACCTCCACCTGTCCAAAATGGACAATGTCTCTATGCAGTGTGCATGTGTGTCTGTTTGGTAGATGGACACACATCTACCTTTTTCAGTGAGCTTCAATGTCTGTTTGTGACTGAGAATGTTGTTTGTGTCTTACTTTATGTGTAAAATGACAAGAGAGGGGAGGCTCATGCAACCTCACATTTTTACCCCAGGATGCTTTCTTTTTGTCATGGAGGCATTACTCTTGACTGAGAGCCAAATTTAAGTAATGAATAATCTAATAAAACAATCTCCACAATTATTCTTTGAATACCCAGGTGCAGAGCGAAAAAGTGAAGGCCCTTTAAAAGAGAAAATGCACAATCAAATAAAAAGTAGGCCAAGTTAAATTAAATTATGGACCACATCTAAGCGGCGAGTGCAGCCAGAAATCTCCCATTCATCATATTCAAATGTTTTCTGAACATAATGCTCAAGTTCTTTAAATGGGCTTTTATGTGTTCCCTCATTTCAAATCTGATAATGTTCACCACCTTATTTCTATCTCTCTCAGCCATTCTCCAGCTATTCTTTAGTCTTTTCATTTCTATACTTGCTTTTATCTACTTAGAGCTTTCTCTTTAGCCCTCACTACCTCTCTTCATCTTCCTTCATATTCTAGTCTTTTTCTCTCTCTCACTCTCTCTCACACCTACCATCTCCATGAAAACTATCATCATTGCAATGCTTTGTCTTCACTTTTGTCCAATTGTTTTAATTTTTTTATTTTTTGCCACTCTACTCCAGTTTTTGTGTGCCCTGGGACATTGCTGCGGGTGCAGGTGCCCAGCTCTCAGCAGGAAGCTGAGCACCAGGCGGGGGCTTGGTGTAAGGACCCTCTGCAGTCTGGGGACCGTCTGTATGTCATGCCCTGGACCCCCTACCGCACAGACATGCTGTATGAGTACGCCTCCTGGGAAGACTTTAAACAGAACCGAGCCACAACTACCTACAAGTGAGTGTATTGCTCACTGCCTTGGATGATCAAATGGCATCTGCTGCAGTACTGAATAACTATTTTTTAATATACTGTAGGAATAGTTGAATGTACCCCTGTGGAACTGGAATGGAACCTCTGCATTGCACGGCCCCACATATACGTGTTTATTAATCCCTTTTTATTCTTATCACAGGCTGCCAAACAGAGTGGACGGCACAGGCTTTGTTGTATACGACGGTGCAGTATTTTACAACAAAGAACGCACTCGAAACATTGTCAAATATGACCTACGTACGCGCATCAAAAGCGGTGAAGCCATTGTCACAAATGCCAACTATCACGACACTTCCCCGTACCGCTGGGGAGGAAAGTCAGACATCGACCTCGCCGTGGATGAAAATGGCCTCTGGGTGATATACGCCACTGAATCCAACAACGGACGACTGGTGGTCAGCCAGGTGGGAGAGCAGTGGTGCACCACAAGGAAAGAAAGGGTGCCTGAAAAAGAAAAATGCTGACACCCGCTCAAAGGTTACCTGTGGTGCACCACAAGGAAAGGGATATGGATTGCAAATGTAGGATTAGATTATCCAGAAATTTCATCTGCGTGGTCAGGCGGATGGTCAATAGAGTGAAATAACTTTTTCTGAGATTACAAGCATGCACTGACAGATGAGATATGGAAAGCCTGCTGTCTGACAAATGGAGCTGTATAAATATCATCAGAAATATTTTGGGTCACATTGTAAATCCCACCATCAAGAAATGTCTTTGCTAGCAAGATTAGTATTTGATTTGTTTTGCATTGTATCTCCACTGAAAAACAAATTATTTGGACTTTGGAGATATTATGACCTAAAAGGATGCCCTTATCCTTGACAATCCCAGGATGCCTCACTTTTGCTTTGTTTGCAAAATAATCTCAAAATTGGATCACTGAGTGAAGAGCTGAATGATTTATATTATTTTTATACCTGCTGTTGGTTTGTTTTCAAATATATATCTTATCTTCTGCAGCACTCCTCATAAACAATACTTAGACTAATAGGTTTGCTTTCCTCTGCTTAATATTTACTCTATAGAATTATTCTTTAAGTTTTTTAAACCTGAGTGGATTTTCAGATGTTTACCGGATTATGGATTTCTAAACCCTGAAGCTGATTTTAATATGCTTACTGAAATAATTTCAGCATAAATTAAATGACAAAAACATGTGAACTAGCAAAGAGCCATAAACTTTAATAGGGATTTTTATGAAAATGATCAACACTAAAAAGTACATAATTGTGAAAAGAAAACTTAATTGCTTAGCCAAATGTTTATCAAAGTCCTGCATAAAAAAACAAACACCTTCATCACTGATAAAGAAAGTAAAATGTTTATATTGTATAAAGTCATTACATATATAATTAAATATTCAAGCATTTAACTCAAGTGGTTTTAAAGAAAAAGTCGTCCTAACTCTGGAGAGGCTGCAAAGATCTGCAGATAAAGCAGCACATTTGCAAGTCAAACAACAGACTCAAACTTACAATATGTCATTAGCCTTGTAATCTACACAACAAACATCTGAAAAAAAGATTTTCTGCTTAGTTGAGATCATTTCGGGTATCCATAGAAAACTCTGCACTGCAGCTACTATTGTGTAGCATGGTGGTGACAACATCAGGCTATGGTGTTGTTTTCTTTACCAGGAACAGGAAAGCTGATCAAAGTTTAAAGCAAGATGAATAAAACGTAATATTGGAAAATCCCAGAGAAAAGATTGATAAAAGCTGCAAAAGATTTGACACCATATGCTCCTCCAATCTAATGTGAATTAAATCATATTTCTAAGAAACTCCAAATGTAGTCTGGACCTTTTAGAAATCACCCTTCCTTGGCAGGGCTTTAAAATTGCTAACTTGGATCAAGCTTTTTCGCAAAAAAGACTATAGTCTTACTACAGTTTACAAAATTTTATACCAATAATTGACAAAGTTATTAAATAAATCAACAAATATGTGTATTTAGAAAGGATAGAAATTTAAATTTATTGATCTCACAATGGTGAAAAATAACTCTGCATTTAACCCATCCCCTCCGGGGAGCAGTAGGCTGCCACTGTGGTGCCAGGGGAGTAGTGTGGGGTTAAGGGCCTTGCTCAGAGACCCAGACTGCCAGCTTTGGGGATTGAACTGGGTACTTGCAACCTTTTCAGATTGCAAGTGCATTGCTCTAATCACTAGGCCAACACTCCCCCATGAAAAAATATAGGCACGGAACAGTTTGGATTTGTAAGAAGTTCAGTGCTTTTTCCATCCTTATCACAATGATGCATTGCTTTGTGTTGGTTCATCACCAAAGATCCCATAGTTTTATTAATGTTCTTTCTGCAGGTTAACCCTTACACACTTCGCTTTGAAGGCACCTGGGAGACAAGCTTCGACAAGAGGATGGCTTCCAACGCCTTTATGGCCTGTGGCGTTCTTTATGCGGTGCGGTCAGTCTACCAGGACGACGACAGCGAAGCAGGCGGCGACCTGTTGATGTACGCCTACAACACAAACCGTGCGCGTGAGGAGCCAGTCAACATTGCTTTCCCAAATCCCTACCAGTATATATCATCTGTGGACTACAACCCTCGAGACAACCAGCTTTACGTCTGGAACAACTACAATGTCCTACGCTACCCACTTGAATTCGGACCACCAGACCCCACTACCGGTAAGGAATGATTCCAAGAAAAGCATATAATAACAGATAATGTGCTCCAATTAAATATTTTAGCAAGAACCTGTGTTTTGTCTCTCAGATGGTCCTTTTAAGTTTGCAAAACACTTTAAGTAACAGCTTAAATATTTAACTCTGACCCACAACGCTATTTCTCTTCATCTGAGAAGCCATCAGGCAGTTCATGTAGAATGTTTCTCTAAATTGGGAGCTTCAGATAGTAAATTATCCTCCAGCATGGCAGCAACATGGAGAAGCTTTTTCCCATACAACTGCAGTGGCACCTCATATCAACGTCAGTGTGTAATGAATAATAAAAAAACTCATCACCAGCCTGATAAACTGGAATGTTGAAATGGGCGTGGCATTTTGTTTTGGTTATATCATTATTTTGAGAGGATGGTTGAGATGTGCTGTAGTTCTAAATTACATACAAACTAGTAAGACGGTTTGATTAGTTAAAGAGAGGAATGAGCAGCTGCAGAGCTGCACGACATCTCTGGCTTTGATCTGATAGGATTTTGTAGTTTTGATGTCTGGCTTTTTATCTTCGCATCAGGGTTGGTTGTTAGTGATGGTGACTTCTATGATGCATTTGATAAATTATTGATTTATCTCTGAATTGCAATGCTGCTTTTTCTTCCCCTGCCTACTATTGCTTTGGAGAGTGGTTAAGAGGTTTAAAAGTTGTTTGTTACCCTGATTGCTGGGTTTTGAACTAAGCTTCTGAGGAACATTTTACATTCAAACACATATGTCTTGTGTTTCTTAATTTTTATGTCTAATTTTGTTTTTGATTTATTATAAATGTTCCACAGATTTTCTTCGGATTGAAAATTTTAATTTGCCCTTTGATTCATTTTCAGGCCCTCTGACCACCACTCAAGTGACCCCAACTCCACCAGCTAGACCATTCACCTCCAGTGCCAGTCCCTCTACCATACGTCCTCTGGCCCCCACCTCACGCCCAATCGGCTCCATTAACAAGCAACCTGATCTCCGTCCAATCACAGCCACGGTACCCGTCACTCGTCGGCCACCTCCCCCTCCTCAAGGCCCACAACGGTATTTTTGTGAGACTAAGCTCATCCGGGGTATCCAGTGGCCAACCACTCAGCGAGGGGAAACTGTTGATCGTCCTTGTCCTAAAGGATCCTTGGGTGAGGATAGCAGCACATTTCTGTTTAAAGGGTCCTTATGCTGAAAGTCTTTCAAAGGCATTCTTCTCTTGAAACTATTTTACAGGGATTTCATGATAGTAATAGACCAATCTAAGGTTATTTGTTATTGTGCAGAGAAAAAGAAAGGTACAAGTTTTGAAATGACTTACAAATGAAAATTTGTGAAGAGTTTCATGAATTTGCATTCAGCATTGTTTAAAAACCTGCCTTTGACATCCTGCACTAGAAAAAGCTGACAAACATAGATGCCAGCAGATTTATCTAGCTCTAGATTTCCAGCCTGGATATAGATGGACTTTGACTAGGCCATAATAATAAATCAGAATGGTTGGATCTAAACCTTTTAGCTCTGGAAGGTGATAAGAGTCTATTTTAGCCTCTAACTATTGTAGGTTCCTTCCAGTATTAGGCTTAAAAGTAAAGCTGGAGTAAATATAATTGTAATTTACAGTGTTCAGATTTATATCTACTTTGGTTTTTAACATAACTAATGCTGAAAGTCTTAGAGGGTATGAATACCTTTGCAAGGCACTATGTATAATTGCAACAATTTTGTTTTAAACCCTGTCTTCCATACTTGTGGGTTGTTACCATATATATTCTTGCACATTCCCAAGCCATCAGTATGTTTGTGCTCTCCTGCTTGTTTTTTTTTCCGTTGTAGCCTCCTTCTGTCCCTGTGTTGGTCTCACCAGTGTGCACAGTCTCTAAGGACTCACTGATAAAAACTCATCCTCCACAAATGAAAGGTTCATCTCCCATGGAATCAGAGCTGATTGAAAGTGGCACATAATCAAATGAAAGGCCACACAACACTGGCTTTACTTTCCTTTCTGCTATTCGATGTACTTAAAGACGTCTACCTGTCAAAAAAGTCACACAAAGACATGTCCTCGATTCCTCCTCCTTCAATTGATTTTATTGTTTCTAGGTGTTTAGAAGCAGATGTAGTCCTCATCTTAGTTTACTTTTTAAACCTGTTCTGTATTGGAAAAACATATAAAGAAAAGCTGAATGCTAAAGGTAAAAAAAATAAATCAGCAGGAGACAGTGAGAAAGTAGCAGATGAAAGAAAACCACATCTGCTATGATCCCGCTATGACTACGAAGCATTTCATCGTTATCTCTGTCATCTATGCTTGTCCAATTGCTTCCCTTTTTGTCCTGTGTGGTCCCCATCCTCTTTTCCTCTGCCTTGTCTTTGTGACTTGATGTTAGGTATTTGTGTTAGCAGCAGCAGCAGCAGATAGACCCCTCCCCGGTTTTGTCTCTGTATGGTGTCCTTCCTCTGAACCCTCACACCGAACAAAAACACCAGAGTGGAAATAAGATTCTGTAGAAGCCACACGCTTCCGTCAGGTGTTATTATTCGACAGTGCGGAATCATATCTGATGTTCTTTATGTGTGACTGTGTTCAGAGATGAAATATTATGTGATGTGAAAGAATACAGTCTGGCTTCCTCCCTCTTTACTCCTGTTTTCACTTGCTATTTAACCTTTTTCATTCAGCCTCAAATCTCTCTTTCACTCTCCTTCCTTTTATTTCTTCACACTCTTCTTCAAACATTGAGTCTTACATATTTAAAATTCATTCTGCTTAATTCTTTCAGGTTAAAACTATCACACGCTCCCTGTTCATCCTTCTCCTTCACACTGTTCCATTTAATTGCAGTCATCTAATGCTTATCGTCTCTCGTTTCCCCTCCACCCTTCTTTCTCTCCCGCTGCTTTTTCTCCAGGTATTGCTTCGTTCCAGTGCCTGGCGGATCAGGTCATTTGGAACCCACGGGGTCCTGACCTAAGTAACTGCACCTCCCCCTGGGTCAACCAGGTGGCACAGAAGGTGAGACCTGAAGCCACATCCCTGGTCAGGGGTCCGTCCCTTTCTTCTGCCCCTCTCACCTGGACACCTTTCCTGTCCACATCTGACATTACATTAACATATCTCCAAGGCTCTCCTGATTAAAATAGAGATCCTTTATTACAAGGCATGTGCTCATAATGCTTAATTAACTTCTTTTTTTTGCCCACAAATATAATTAGATTCATGCTAGCCTGCAGTTTTTTTTATATGTCTACTGTCCAATTCCAGCGAAGATTGGCTTGTATTTTTATCTTTGTATTTTATCTTTATCGTTAAATAAAAATATGAAAATAACAAAGGAAAGAAGCGAAAATATTACATTACAAGAAAATAAACTTTGTCTTTTTTAGGAGCGGTAATAGTACCAAAAATATTTCTGTTTCCTAAGAGCTAAACTAATGAAAGAGAGGATTTGTTCAGATGTTTGTGGACATGTTCAAACTTTTACTGATTACAAAAGTTCACTTTATCAATAACTTAACTAAGACTAGGGGTTTTTAAAAGTCCATTCAAATTGAAGCGTCTGATTTTAATTATAAATAACACCAGTGCAGACACTAAACATTAAAACCTTGTGCTGATCCATAAGCATTTATACTTAGACCTGATCTTCAAAGAATCTAAATAACAAGAGCATTTTTTTTAGTATTTGCAATAACAGATTTTAACAGTTATATATAACAGACATATAAATGTTTGGCAGATGATCTGCTAAGATTGTTTTGCAAATATTACGACGTGCAAACTGAATTGTTCCTTTTCCGTTACAATTTGTGAATTACAGGCCTACAGGCTACAGTAAATGTTACGGAGGTAGTTAAAGGAAGATGATGCTCAAAGCAATGGAGATGGAGATGATAATTATCAAAACAATACAATGATAGGAAAATAAAAGCAGAATAAAAGCAAAAAAAGATAAAAACATGATAAAAGCAGGCAGTAAAACAAACAAAACAGATGAACCAGGAGCTTAAATGTAGCCTATCTCAAAGGGCTATGAACAAAAATGAAAACATCATGAAACATAATTGTACTTTATTACATTTTATTACATTGAGGAAGTTAAATATCCCTGTTGTTAAGACATGCGCACACATACTCAGCTCCATGTCTCTTTGCAGCCTCTTTTGTTTTTCAAAAACATTTTTTATTTGTTTTAAGTAATGCGTAGAGTTAACTTTTTTGGCCACCCGCCCTAATTTTGTGATTCCTAAAATAAAGGTTAATCACTTTGCATGGTTTTTGGACTTGTCCAAATTACACATTAAGTGATGTTGGGTTAGTAACCAACTTGATCTCATTTATGGCTAGACCTACATATTGGCTTTCAAATGTATCTGACCTGTTATGACCAGCATTTAAAATACAAAATCATAGAAACACAGCCAATCATCTTACTGATGGTCTCCTTGCAAATTTAATTAAATGTATAACCATTTCTTTGTCCGTGTTAGTCAAAGTTCAATTTTTTTTGTCCTTTTAGATTTTTACATTACATTAATATCAAAATGTTATTTTAATATTATACATTATTTATTCCCTTTCAAGAAAAGTTTAATATTTTGATTATATAATGTTTAGATAAACAACAATTATAACAGCAATAACACCATTAAGAGAATCCAAACCATATTTCACTGTAATTTCAAGGTCAGGCAATGATTAAAAACCCTTTCAGAGAGCATAGACTGAGGGCTCTGAGTCCTCAGAAGAGGAGGAAGAGCAGACACTCTCCTCTGCTCCCTCCAATGCAGCAGCTGGGTTTTTCAGCAAGGTCTACTCTGACTGGCTTTCTCTGCACCGTACATACGCCAATCCAGACAGCAGATACCCTCTGTCGTGAAACCAGCCAGTCCCAAAACTTGCCAAAGCTTTCCACTTATATTAAGACCTCTCTTTTAAATATTTTTTTGTTTTGTCCTCCTCTTCATTTCCCTTTTGGTCATTTACAGCCTGCCACCTTTTCATGCCAGCCATATGTCGCCACATTTTGTTTTAAAAATCCAAGAAAAGAGCCGTGCTTGCGTAACAAAACCATAGGTCATGTGATTGTTAAACAACACAACAACTGCTCTGTTTTTTGTGTTGTTCTGTTGGCTACATACTAAGTGGCAAGTAGATATACAGCTTCACCGGCAATTACAAAAGTTGCCCACATTTGATGCCTGATCTGTTTGCAATTTCATGTGCTGGGTTTAAGTGTATAAAGATCGTCTGCTGTTTTATGCTGCATTAATTTCAGCTAGCCTGAAGACACTTTTCTTTATTATCAATTTTCTACTATTGTTTATGATAAACAGGATATCTTTCCTCCTCTGGCACGATGCCTCCTTTGTGGCAACATTTTGCAGATATTGTAGGTTTGGTATAGAGGCATCTGTTTGCACATGACTTTCAGAACTAAGAAAAAAAGATGCAAAACCAATTTTCTGATTAGGAAAACCAGTTTTGCACATGGTAAATGTTTACATTTGCATATCGTCCATCCATAAATTTGCACCATTTGGTCATTAGAATATGATCTGCATGAAGAGACACATGCAAAACATTGGTTGCACTCGCTGTCTGCTGAATTGCAAACACACATCACTTTGCACCTTCTTTGAAGATCTGCGTGTACAAACACCTTGGCACCTGTTTTAAGACATGCAAACCTTCTGAAGATCAGTCACTTAGTTGTTAATTTAATGTCTAAGCATTATATGTGCTGAAAGCAGCTATATTGGACTTTCTAGTTATTTTTCCATGTGCACTGCCGATGGATCTCCCTGAATCCTTTGTTAGGTATATGTGTGTGCTTTGAAGGATAAACAGCATCACCTTTAAAAGAACTGCCATTGGAAGAATCCATTATACCATCTCTTTTTAGCTAAAATCAATTGCAATTGCAGTGTGTTTGCAAAGGCTGCAATTTGCAAGTGAAAAAGACCCAACGATAATAAAAACTTCATGGTGTGTACTGCAAGGTCTGCCGTTATTTACAACGATACAAAAACGCCTAATATTAGAGGGAAGCTTGTGTGTGTTATTTGCAAATAAATCTGTCTCTTTCTTTTATGCAGATAAAGAGTGGAGAGAACGCTCCCAACATAGCCAGTGAGCTAGTGAACCACACGAGGGGACGAATCCAAGCCGGTGATATTAGTTCGACTGTCCGGCTGATTGAGCAGCTGCTGGATATACTGGATGCCCAGCTGCAAGCCCTTAAGCCCAGGAATAAAGAGTCAGCAGGGCGAAACTACAATAAGGTAATAGAAATTGTAATTAAACTCATGCATTCTGGATGCATGTATCAAAAATTAGAAAGCAAAGGTCAAGTTAATCAAACTGCATTATTTCGCTATAGGCTGTTAGTTTATTTGTTATCTTCTCTTTGTTCAGTTTAACAAAACCCAGCTTTGTTTTCTTCCCTCCAGTTCCAGAAGCGAGAGCAGAATTGTCGAGCATATATCCAGGTAGATTTTTCTTTTATGCCTGTCTTCTTTACATACCCAGAATAAAGCTGTTCTCTGAATTTTTATACAGACAAGTTACATTCTGGTGCAGACAAGTTTGTGTGAATGAAATTCCCCAGGCTCAGTGTTATGAATAATCTTTGTTTTGTTTAGATTTCTGTTTATTGTTAAAACAGTTATTCTTTCTGGAGTCTTGACTATTATTTCCTGCAACTCATAGCAAGGCGAAGTGAATAGAAAAAATATGCAACAAATATGTGTCTATAAAATCAACATTATTATAATGTATCGATCTCTGAATGTAGCCTGACAGGCAGGTAACAAAAACACACTTATCAAATAATAAAGTGACAAATGCTTGAGCACATCAATGAAACGGTCAGTCTTAATTATGCCTCCTATTGACAGATTATAAACAGGATAATCTTTTGAAAATCTAAGATGATCCAAGTGCCATACATTTAGTCTTCTCAGTTTTAATCAAATAGTTCAATAATCTAATACTAATCTAGTTTTCTGGTTGAATCATTACATGTAGGACAATAGTGGCATGCTTAAAAATAAAAGGGACATTTTTTGTGAAAACAAAAACAGTGGTCCAAGACGTCTACCTTGTGTCACTTCTCACTACAGAGGCTTTATTGCAAAATTACTACCATTAAATAGCACAATAAAATCTAGATTCTTTAAAGCTACAGTGTGTAACTTTTAGCGACATCTAGTGGTCAGACTGCAGCAACATGAACATCTCTCCCCCACCGCTTCTCCCCCCCAACAGTACGGCGAGCGTTACGGGACAAAATGTCTTCCACGACGTCCGCATCACCTACCTTCTCAAGTGATGAGGTTTGTTTACATAGATAATTTTACAGATAGTATTTCATTAGTCTGTGTAGGGTATAGATTTCATGTAGACTTAAGATAATAAATATTTTTTCTACATCGTTGTGACGTTTTGGCGATCTCGCAATCGCTAGTTTGTTGGCTCTGCGCTGCCGTAGCGCAAAGATGTCTGCCTCCATGGCTGCGAGACCCGCTCCTATGTAATTATAAATAACGAATTCTAAGGCAACGCAAATATTAAGGTTAAGAGGCTGAGCTCATAGATGATGATAAATAACATAGTTATGTATAATATATTACATTTCTGACTGTATATCCCTGTAATTATTACACACTGTAGCTTTAAATAACTTTTAATCAGTTAATTGCAGAATATTCAAAATGATACAACAAGATCTTTCCAGCAGTAAATTGTAATCAAGTACATTAAAAGCTGCACTCGACTTTAGCAATACAGTCCGGATTAATCTCCTGTTTTGTATTACTTATCCAGTCATCTGAGCTAAAGCTGTTGTTTAAGTGCCCTTGAAATGGAGGTTTAAAAATGATTTTACTGAATCCCGATATTGGAAAAATATACAAATTATTGTACCTTGTATTCTCTATAGTAAACTGAATCTTAAGTCTACAACAAACATTCAAATTAGCTCATTTAAATCCTTTATTTGAGAATATGGTATCCATCACTATTATATATTTACTATGTAAGTAAAATTAATTTATAAATGATATTTTTAGAGATGAAATTGCAAAGTGCTGTACATAAAACAAATAAAATAAAACACATTTGAATGAATTAAATGCGGTCAATGTATTAGTAAGTTTAAGTCAATGTTTAAGTATAAAACCCACCATGCAAAGGTTATTTTAAACAATGTTTCCAAAAGGTGACTTTTCACCAAGGAACTTTTAGATCTAGAACAATTAAATGAAAATAATACACCAAATAAACAATAAAAGACAAATACATAAACATATATGTTTGTAAAAAAAAAAATTTACTTACACTTCAAAAACAAAATTATTTGAATAGCCACCTCAGACCTAACTTTAATAATAACTTTGTGGTCATCACTTTATAAATCAGTCAGTGTCCGGACTTTTGAATCATCACTTACATATTCTGGTTTATGCTGAAGGACAAACAACCTTCACTCTAATTAACATAAATCAGTTTACAGTTTTTATTTGCCAGTGGTGGATTTTGTTTTGTATATTTGTGAACTGGTGTCACTTAATAAAGATATCGTATTGGCCTGCAGCATAATCTTGCCGCAGTGTGATAGAGTTTATAGTGTATGTTTAATATCAGCCTCAGCCCCATTATATTGCACAATAAGGTACAATACCTGTTGCCTAGAGAAATGTAATTTGACCACAGTATAAAAAGCAACAGTTTGTCTTATGACACCCTTCTGCCCGTTTTCAATATGTATGCAATATCTCTGGCTTTGGGAAAGCTCTTATCTAATATCAAGAAAATGGTTTTGTGTATGCTTCTTTGTAATGATAAAATGCAGCACTCTGCAGCACCCAGTCTTTTATTTTCCATGACCTCTCTGCTTCCTGTTGTAATTTGACCCCACGTCTTTTGATCTCCGTTTCTGCAGGATGAATGCAAAGCATGCAGCTTGGAATGTTACCGGGCTATTACTTTCTGTCACTTTCTGCAGGGTAGCTTTGTATAATAACCACTGAACCAAGGATATCATACAAACACCCTCAGCCATTTTCTTCTTCTGGGAATGAAGTGCATTCTGATGCTCAATTCATTCTCTTAACAGCAATGCTCTTTATTCTGCACGGCAGTCTATCCTTCATTTTTGAGAGGTCTGAGCAAGAGAATTACATGATTCATCAAGCAGGCTACTCCAATAAATTGAATAGCTGATACAACCATCAAAATTGCCATTAAATGAATTGTAAGTGTGAAATAGAATGGTAATATGTCTGACATAGCATAATAACAAATGAATTGCAGGAGAGTTGAAAGCTTCTTGGAAATAATTACCAGTAAACGTGTAAGTTGAATATCTTATCAAACATGTTTGCACTGCATCGCATTGTACACAATATTAATCATTACGAACACAGTATAAGCACATTTAGGAGAAAATTGGTAATTAATGATCACTAATTAACAGCTAATAGCACTTCCTGAGAACGGTGTTAAGCTGTAAAAAGGTGTTAATGAGTGACTATCTGTTGATTAGTCATCCATAACCAGGTGTAGTCGGTATTGGAAGCTAAATGTTGCAAAACCAACAACCGAAAAGTAATAACTATTTTTATGCGATTTTAGATCACCATTTATTCTAAGCTCTGAATTACGGTACCACATTTTTTAAAAGCATTTTTATCTTTTTCTAAATTAAATACATAAAAATATACTTTATTTTTTATTGTTTACACCTTTTTTAAAAATCTTAATAACAAAATTAATTTTTAAATGAAACAATAATGTTCACAAAAGCAGAGCGAAGGTCACTAAGTTATCTCCCTCTAAGTAACTATCCATCTACAGATTCCCCCCAAATAGGACAAGTGGGAAAGCTGTTTAAATTCAAAATAAGTGGCTCTAAATTATTAAACAGGTATCACATTATTTTAAAACCAAAGGGAACTTTTTACCATAAGTGTGAGAAAGCAGTTAATATTACAGAGCTCCGTTACATGTTTGCATAACTTATTTTAAACAAAGACCAAAGTAGAGATGGTATTTTAATTAATTTAATGTTTTCATTTGAAAAATCTTTATCATTTTATATTAGCATATAGCACAATGTTTACAAGTTGCACGGCAAATCACACTATATAGATCTGTGTCTGTCTGTGTTCACGGCAGTTAAAGCCCATTTATTTCATCTTTTTGCTTTCAGTCTCAGCAGAAGGTTTCAGACATTGGTAATAATGGAAGAAGTTACAGCACCGTACATTTCCTAAAAAGAAACAATTGAGTTAGCATAGGTGGTTTAACAACACATACAGTATTTATTGTCGAATTTTGCTGGACGAGTCACTTTCCTCTTCGATGTTCTTTTTCCGATCTTTTGTCGTCTATTCCGTGGAACGTAGCCCCTTGTGATTAAAGTTTGTATTTCTCCTTTTGTTTTGTTTGGATACCCATCTGCAGGCTCCTTCGTGATGGGCTAAAATACCCATGAAAGGAATGCAGAAGACGGACAAAAGGCCCTTTCTTTGTGCTTATGCACATTAAATGGATGGGCTCTTAGTGATGCTTACCTTAGCTGTGAGATTCCCAAGGAGTTTCAGATGACAGATAAAACTGAACTGTTCAAAAGGATAAAATTGAGCAACATTTAGTTATCGGTTATTTATAGACCTCTATCTTTATACAGTATTATGGCAGATTTAATAAACTTTTAAGATGCATCAAGAGAAAAATGTAGTTTTCTTTATAGATCCTTTTTTTTTAAGATTCTACATCCTCTGCCTTCAATGTTAATCTCACGACTGATACTTAATTTAGCTGCTCTTCAAAGGACTTAATGCTAAGAAATGTACCTTATAGTGGGTATGCATGATTCTACTGTCCACAGGGCAAAGTCCTACAGTAAATCTAAATCTTTTCATTTATCACATTAGAGAACTTAAGACTTCTCTATTTTTGAAATGTTTCTGCTTCTTTATGCCTCAGGCGGTTGTTCAGACAGTAGACAACCTACTGCGTCCTGAGGCCCTGGACTCTTGGCAAGATATGAACAGCACTGAGCAGGCTCACACTGCAACCATGCTCCTGGACGTCCTGGAAAAAGGAGCTTTCCTCCTGGCTAACAACATGTACGGGAATCGCTTCTCTGACCGAGCCCCCAGCGTTGGTGAGAAAACACGCATTAGGATACAATAGACCACAAACCTCTGAGTGAAGCTCTGCGTCGGGTTTATGGCTCTCTGTTTTTACAACCAGATCTGGAGGTTCACGTTGTCAACACAGAGATGGACCTGCAGGATTTATCTTTCCCACAGAATTACGCTAGTGACAGCACCATCCAGCTTTCAGCCTCCACCATCAAGCAATACAGTCGGAATGGTCAGCAGACTTCACTCCCCTTCTCGGTCACCCCTACATCTGAAAAATGGCACAGTTCTTAGCATCTCACACTGGTTATGTTTTCATTTGCATTTTTTTGCAATCTTAAAACAATCTGCATGCAGTTGACTTAGTCATTGGTTCATAATAACAGCCTAATCAGATTAACAAAAGCGCTGAGACAATTTCTTTTCTTGATGGTTTCTTAACAGCAGTCTTAATAGAATAGCTGGGGAGGCGTGTAGATTACAATCGGCCCCAGCCTGGCACAGCTATCTCAGCACTCTCTCTTGTTTCTTTTCCTCATTCCCGCGCTTAGTCTTTCCACCATCTTATCCCCATGTCACATCTCTCTTGTTCCCAACCCCCCATCATCCTTTCGTGCTCCCCTCCTCTTTCAGTGGCCCCCTCATCCCTACCCTCCCTCTGTTTTCTGCCTCTGCTGGGCTCTGCAGTGGGAACGAGATTAGAATGATTGAAACAAACCCACATGAAATATTCATATGGAATAATAAGAGATCTGTGAATGCTTGAGGGATGAATGTTCCATTGCCCTCCACATTAAATCTCGCTCTCTTGCACCAGTCAAAATGAAACGGTCCTTACCATCATTCTAACCTTCACTAACTCCCTCTCTCCATCTCCCTTTCACTCACTCTGTCACTCTCCTCTCTCCATCTCTGCCATTTCTGCTGCTGTTTCCACATTATGTCCTCATTTCTCTATTTTACTCCTGTCTCCCCCCTCCTTCATGCTTTTGTGTATCTCCCCTTTTAGATTAACAACTGCCTGTTTTCACACCTTAATATTGATTCGAACTGTCTCATCTTATCTTTTGCAGGGCAAGTAAAAGTGGTTTTCATTCTGTACAAAAATTTGGGGTCTTTCTTGTCCACTGAGAATGCTACAGTTAAGATAGAAATGGAGGGACCGAGCTATGAAAGGAAGCGCCTGGCGGTTAACTCTCATGTAATCGCTGCCTCCATCAACAAAGAATCCAGCAGAGTGTTTCTCACTCAGCCGGTGATCTTCACTCTCAAACATCTCCAGGTATTTTTATTTTTTTTTGGCTCATATTATCATGTTTTTTCCTGACCCCAATTAACTCATAAAAAAATGCTTTTCTCAAATGATGATTTAACATATGAAGGAATAAAGTTTCCTAAGCCAACCTGAACCAACATGGTAAATCAAATAGAACCTGTCAAACAATATAAAGTAGGCTTGACAACAATTATTGAAGGCAGCACATCATACAAGTATCTAAGAAAATAGAGAATAGAAAATACAAAAAATTACATTTGCCTTTTAAATTCAACTAGGGGCAGGAATTTTTAAGCGAACACACATGCATGTCCGTTCTTTTTTATGCTAAGGGGTGATAAAGCTATCTCTCTGCCTTGACTAGCCCTTGTGCTGCATAATACGCTACAATTTGGGTTTGGAATCTCCTGATCAGTCCTATCGATGTACGTAAATTGATGCTGTAGGAAGTCACAGTGTTAGAAGATTTGCTTGACCTGGTGCTTGTTGCTGTGATTGAATATGTGCAGAGGTCTTGTTGTAAACCATCAAACAGTTAACAGCGTTACACTATTACAAGTGCAGTGCTGTGAATACAGCCTTTCCATGTTTATGTGCGCTGCTCTGCCACCTTGGCTGGTGGCTGCACTTACCCGCAGCACTAGTCGGGTCAGTCGTCAGTCTCATTCCCTCATCCTGCCTCTAGTTCCTTTAAAATAATTCCTACAAAATCTCACAGCTGCAGAAAATTATTGGGAGCTCCGTTGGCGTCATTTAGTTGAGCTAAGATCAGTTTTAGTGAGTCAAAAATAAGAAAGATACTATGCAAAAATTTTATCCATAGGAAAGTTCCAGTGCAAAGAATAAAACTTTTGACCAGAAGAACACAAAGACCCATTTCACGTTTGTCAAAAACATCTTAATGATCCGACAGACTTTTTTTTGTAATGTTCTATTTACACACAAGACCACAAAGCCTTTATATCTGCCATAAATATAACACATTATTTGAGAAATCAAACATCAGACCTAGAATAGAGCATGAATATATGATATTAATGGATGATTACTGAAGTTTCTATCTGAACTCCAGAGGGAAAGTGTCCATCCTGTAGAATGTGACCTTAAGCTACACTCAAGTTACTCAGCATTAAAATAATCCCAAGCATCAACTGTCTCTCTTTTCTGCAGAATAAGAATTATTACACTCCAAATTGTTCGTTTTGGAACTACTCTGAGCGCTCCATGACCGGCCAGTGGTCTTCGCAGGGCTGCAGGCTGCTGGACACCAACAGCACACACACCACATGCTCCTGCAGCCACCTCACCAACTTCGCCGTGCTCATGGCTCACCACGAGGCGGATGTAAGAAAAAAGGGCGTGGCAAGCAGACACACATTTAAAATGGAAGTGGGCTAATTTATGCTCACATTCATTCGCGTGAGCATTAGCACTCACGCAGTCACACACCCTCACACACATGCACAATAATGTTCCCTTCTCGAGGCTGACAAGCTCTTTGTTTTGAATTTTCTCTTTTCCTTCTTTCACGCTGACATTCAGGGAGGCAACAGCTTACAAATTCATGTCCCACTACTTCTAGCTGACATTCACATGAATTTAAATGTCATGTTTTTTTTTTCAGAATGCCTTGTCTCTTGTCTTCACATTTTAGCTCTGTGCATATATTTACAAATATTAAATAAGGCAATTTGGCTCTTTCGATCCCCACCCTCTTTTTCCATCCATCCCTCTTTTGTTTCTGCTGCTCATCTTCTGTCCCACTATTCTCCTTCCACCATGTTCTATTTTTGTCTCAGTTTTTACTTGTAATGGGCGAATTGTGTATTTCTAGCCCCTCCTCTCTTGCGCTCCCCGTTTCTTACACCTGTTTTTTTTTTCTCCATTGTTTAATCCACCAGGGCCGGATGCACGAACTGATCCTGTTCGTGATCACCTGGGTGGGAATCGTCATCTCCCTGGTGTGTCTGGCCATCTGCATCTCCACTTTCTGCTTCCTGCGGGGTCTGCAGACTGACCGCAACACAATCCACAAGAACCTCTGCATCAACCTCTTTATCGCTGAGCTGCTCTTCCTCATCGGTATTGACAAAACGGAATATCATGTGAGTTTTTATCCACAGAGCCTACTCTAATACCTGCTCTTTTTCCCTTTTCGACTCATATTTGAGCTTTTTTCTTTTTTTGGTAATTTAATAAGATTTTACATGTCCTTTTTGCATTATGAAGCCTCCTTTAAAACTCAATTTACTCACTTATATGCAGTAAATTAGATGGAGTCAAAAGGTCAGGTTAGCTTCTATGCATAACTAACTTGAGAATGACATTTACAGAACTTCATATATATATATATATATATATATATATATATATATATATATTTTTTTTTTTTTTACTGTTCAACTGAAATTGAGGCATTGTATCATTAATTTACTCTATAAAACCTTTACTAGACAAGGTAATGCATTACTCTTCAATAAAATGCACAGAACTTATCACCCTGGGGCAGCTTTTCATTTGTTCCTCCTTTTTTTGTTTAGTACCTGATAGTGACCCTGTTCTGTTCTCTCCTGAATTTCACTTGTTAAAATGCCTTACTTTTAATGACACCCCCTTCTTTGTCCTATTTTTCTAATTCGTCTCCTCTTCTGTCGTCCCTCCTCCTTACCGCTGCCCTCAGATCGTCTGTCCCATCTTTGCGGGCCTTCTCCATTTTTTCTTCTTGGCTGCCTTCTCCTGGATGTGTCTGGAAGGCGTGCAACTCTATCTCATGCTCGTGGAGGTCTTTGAGAGCGAGTACTCACGCAAAAAGTACTACTATCTGTGCGGCTACTGCTTCCCCGCGCTGGTGGTGGGCATCTCAGCAGCCATAGACTACAGGAGCTATGGGACCAAAAAAGCGTATGTGTGAAGACAGGCCTTTTGCACCTGCAGATTGAGAAGTAGGATTATGTTATTCCCCCAGCTGGGAATGTAATATGCAGTGCTGTGTGAGTGGCTCTCGTGCCTCCCCACTGACTGGGTTTTCTGAGCACACTTAGCTGAAGCCCGATGATTAGCCTTTATAACATAATCCGCTGAGACAGGGATGTAATGTTCGTATGCCTGCCTGTGTGTGTTTGTGTGTGCATGTGACTCACTGTGTCTGTATATTTGTTCCTGGGCTTAGCTACATTTAACTCTCTCCTCTTTGCCACTCCAGATGCTGGCTAAGAGTGGATAACTACTTCATCTGGAGCTTCATTGGACCTGTGTCATTTGTCATTATGGTATAAGCTTGTCAAACACTATACTTTTCAACTTACTTTTTTTTTTTTTATCAAGAGTACTCATACAGAATTCCTTCATTTTGGAAATTTCTTTACAAAATTTGTTAACTTCTTTCATCTTCTCACTGTAGCTCAACCTCATTTTCCTCATGATCACTCTCCATAAGATGATTCGCAATTCTTCAGCACTCAAGCCAGATTCAAGTCGCCTGGATAACATCAAGTAAGTTCTATTTTCTGACCTTATTTATTGAATACACCAAACTGTGATCTGAGCTTTTATGTTCTGATATCTGTCTGATTCCCTCAGGTCATGGGCTCTTGGGGCCATTGCGCTGCTGTTCTTGCTTGGGCTAACATGGGCCTTTGGCCTCCTCTTTATCAATGAGAACACGGTGATCATGGCCTACCTGTTCACCACTTTCAATGCCTTCCAGGGAATGTTCATCTTCATCTTCCACTGTGCACTGCAAAAGAAGGTAACAATAAAACTCACCTTGGAAAAGTATTCCAAAAACATTTTATACCCTAATCCAACACATAAGGATTTCAAATATTTTGCAAGATATATATCTTAAACATGTGTATCAGTGAGACCACCGGGGGTATATAGGTCCTCTATTCAACTTTTAGTGGCTGAATCCCTTTACTGTACATCATACCATCTACTACAGGGGTGGGCAATTCCAGTTCCTGAGGGCCGGTATCCTGCAACTTTTAAAGGTGCCTTTGGTTCAACACACCAGAATCAAGTTATTAGATGATTGAGGTGACTAGAGAAACTGACTGCATACTGAGGAGTTAAGTCAACCATATGATTAAGTTGTGTTGGACCAAGTATGAATCTAAAAGTTGCAGGAGACCAGCCACCAAGAACTTGAATTATCCAGCCCTGATCTACTAGGTTCAAACAAGTGGTGGCAGCACCATGCTATGTTGGTTTTCTTAAGCAAATGCATAGATCCTAGACAAATTAGAAAAAAAAAATGATTGAGGGCCAATCATTTCGGCTTTCAACACCATCATCCCGCAGCATCTGATAGGAAAACCGAAAAATCTGGGCTTCGTTACCCTTTGCAATCCGCTGCTAGACTTCCTTACCAGCAGACCTCAGTCAGTTCGCGTTGGACAGAACACCAAAGATGTCATCACCCTGATCCTCAGGGTAATGACATCTGATCATCGTCAACTTCAGGAAGAACCACCCTAACCACCCAGAACTGCTCATCAACAGCTCAGCTGTAACAGGGGTCAGCAACACCAAATTCCTTGGAGTGCACATCACAGACAACCTCACCTGGACTGTAAACACTGCCTCAGTGGTCAAAAAGGCACATAAGTGGTTGTACTTCCTGCATAGGATGGGGAGAGCCTACATGCCCCTGCCAATCTTCACGACTTCAAAAGCACCATAGAGAGCGTTCTGACCAGCTGTTTCACCGTGTGGTGTGAAGGCTGCAGTGCCTCAGACTGGAAGAATGTCAGAAGAGTGGTGAGAACAGCAGAGAGGATCCTCTCTTCCCACCATTAAAGATATTTCATCCCAGAGCTGGATGTCCCAAGCCCGTAACACTATCAGCAACCCCTCACACACCCACCATGGACCGTTCTCCTTGCTGCTCTCTGGAGAGAGGATTTGCAGCATGCGATTCAGGAACAGCAGGTTCTGCAACAGCTTTTTCCTCGCTGATCACTGCTGCACTTCTCTAGCTTTGTTTTTATTGTCATTACACTGTCACAAGAACAAAGCAACAACAAAGCAACAAAATGAACTCCCTGTATTTAACCCATTCCATTGGGAAGCAATGTGGGGTTAAGAGTCTTTGCTCACAGTGGCAGTCCGTGGGAGTGGGGCTTGAACTCAGAACCTCAGGATTCCAAGCTCTATGCCCTAACCACTAGGCCGCCACTCCCGCCACTTTATAAATGGAAATGCTAATTTCACTGCAGTAAGCTGCTCAGTCATTGCTGAAAAGCTGTATGCATAGATATTTCATTTTGTATTCATGAAAAAAATGACAAAAAAGTTTGTCTAAGTCTAGTGAAATCCATAACTTTGATGTACTTTGTGTGGGTCTATCAGATAGCTATAAATCCAATAGAGGTATACGGCCATTATTTAACAATGATTGCTTTTAGAGGTTGAAATGACCAAGCATTTTGATTACATGACAAAAATGTTAACATGCAAAATAATTCTAAATAATTAAACACCTATTTAATAGTTATTTAATAGTTTATTTTTGTTAGCACAGTGTTGTATCCTTTGTGTCATTCCATCCAGCCAAAGAATAGATAACACCAATGCACTGTAATTAATATTATTCAGAAAAAAACATGAATTCAAAGGAATGATTTAATAAGATTCCCCATGGATTTTCAGATATATTGCATTTAGTACATTTTTCTGTGGCTGTGGAAAGAAATGCTGCACTGATCGGCACTGAGATCAGTCTATTGAAACTGCAAGTCTGTTTATGGATCATTCTTTAAACTCAATCACCCTGCTTCTTTTTGCAGGTCCATAAGGAGTACAGTAAATGTCTGCGTCACTCCTACTGCTGCAGCCGCTCTTCCACCAACAGCTCCCACGGTTCCCTGAAGAACTCGGGCCTCCGTGCCAACAACCGCTACTACACCGGCAGCCAAGCTCGCCATGCAGCTGTCCACAGACAGGTGCAGATAAGACAGATCAACTCACAAAGTCACAAGGACACACGTCTTTACACATCTTTGGAATAATCAAATTGTGCTGCTCTCTGAGAATAGGAAATATGTCTTTGCTGCAAGATGGTTGCACTTGTACTAAGCTTTTTTTTTTCTTTTGAAGTTTTTGAAAAAAAAAATATTTTGTAATACAATAACTTTTCTGTATAGTCCTTGGCTATTTATAAAAAGGATGAAAGTATTGTTATATAAGACTTGGATGTAAAAACATGTGATATGAATGGAGGTTTGTACTTAACAGAGCAAAATGGACTTTTTCAGTTAGTACTGAACTCGAAAAAGGTACAAACATTTTAAATTAATCGCCAGTAATGTTGTTTTTTCTGTCTCTTAGAGACCGACAGAGTTACATCATGATTTACAGCATTATAAATAAACAATGCAGCCTGATCACCTGCATATACGCAGCTTGTTTTGAAAGTTTCACTGTTACCTTAGAGCAGAGTGTTGGCAGATTGGTGCTTTGCAGGAGAGATGACTCATTTATAAATATATCTTTTGAAGCTTATTTATTTATATAGATGCAGGAACCAGTGCAGAGGATACAGAGAAGTGCTGCTCATGCTGTGATATGTGGATTGGCAGAGACATATGAGACACAAACAAGTAGTCTTTACAATCAACAAACAAGCGTTTCCAAAATGTAATAACATGCAACAATTGTATCAGCGACTGCAATCACATCTTGCACATCGTAAGCTCATTAACCCTCCATGATAATGTGGCAAAGATGCACGCCTCTTTACCCCAAGCCCAAATCTCTTTTGTCTGACATGCTTGTCTATTGTTCTTTGTGGATCAGGGAGCCTCCTAGTTCTGATTACAGCTGCAACATTGATTTATGAAATCCGTACACGACATATGCACATTATACGCTGTGGGGACATATGGAGACAGAATGGAAAACATTTGTCTGCAGATGTAGTTTTTTTCTTTATTATCACATTTAAATATTTTTGAATTAGAGTTTTCGTACCATAGAGTGAATACCTGAGTAAACACTGCAGCTGGTTTTCAAATGATGATTTAATTTAAAGAGAGAAAAAATATCCAAAGCAATCTGAACTTACGTGAAAAGGTAATTTAACCTAAACCTTATAAATGTTTGTTACCCTTGGCAGCATGGATTTATGAAAGCTGGCATTGAGTTAAACAGACATGTTCAATGTGGGTGATTTCTTGATTTCAAATGTGAGGTAGTAAGTGTTGCATAGGATCGAAATAAAAAAAAATAAAAAATCAGATTATTAACAGATTATTCATGATTTAATAAAATGGGGGATTACATTTTTTTTAGTTGAGACCGGGAGCTTTATAAAGCTTAAAAAATAAATAAATTGAAAGCATATTTGAGAAATTAGTTATGCTTCTTACTCTGTTTATCATTGTCTGATATTAACACCTGTTTTATGATCTGAAACATGTAAGTGTCACAAATGCATGTGTCAGCTGCCACTCACAGCACTCTGCTTTTCCTCCAGAGTCGGATCCGTAGGATGTGGAACGACACGGTTCGAAAGCAGACAGAATCTTCATTCATGGCAGGAGATATAAACAGCACCCCAACACTCAATCGTGGTGAGACCCTCACTCTGTCACTGCTTTCTTTATTTGAATTATTGGCACTAAAATTCTTCTTAGTACATATACATTAAAGCGGAACAAACCAAACAAGCAATTACTAGAGAGGGTTCAGCAAAGAACATAGTAACTCATGGTAAATATGCTGAAGCTGCTGTATGAAGGATGATGAAATGTGTACTCATGTTTTTGCAGAGTTCCTGAAAGGCTATTTGGTGATGCAATTTGCAAATTGTGGGCATTAGCAGCAAAAGCTTAAACAGTCGGTCAAAGTCTTCCTCTTGAATGGTGCGCTTCAGTTTGCAGCCAGCTGTGTTTAACTTAGAGGTGAAGTTCGCTGTAGCAACAATTCAGTAAAGGCCTGAAGCAACCGCTGAGATATATGGAGCTCGGCTGCCTTCTTTTATTTAGCTTTTCCATCTGTTTATCTTGATTTCTCAGGCCTTGTTTGAATGGTTTTGACATACTTTAAGCTAAATGCAACAATGCAGCTTTTTTCTTTTTTTTCTTTCAAAGGCATGAATTATTTGACTTATGATGTCTGTATTCCTTCCTGATGTGCCTTTTATGGTGCGTTCACATAGGAGGTGGTAGCAATGGCCCTAGTGGTGAATTCACATAGAATTCCTATACAAACGGTGAGGTGAAGGATGGTGAAGTGGCCAGCGGTGAACTCCACACAGTTTTTCTCTGGGATTATTAAAGTATTTCTGATTCTGAAGAGCGTTCGCTGCTCCGCTCTCACCTTGTGTTGCTAGAAAGAACTGAGGTGCTGTCAAACAGCAGCACCACATGGAGAGAACAGAGCAGTGATCGTGAATTTGAAACGAGCTGAACTATTTAATGAAATTGCGACCCCACAGCCAATCAGGGACAGGTTGTAGGCAAAGCTATTTCACTTCAAATAGAATGCAGAAAAAATAATGTTAAAAATGGTAGAAATAAGAAAGAAAAAGAATAAGGAATGCTCTAAAGATGCTTTTAGGTGGCTTTAAAAAATGCTTTAATTTAATCCTAGAAGGATTGTTAATTGTCTTCACTTACCTCCAGCACAGAGCGCGGTCTGTCACTGCCCATTGCCTAGCATTGGTGCTTTCCACGAGGTAAGATTTATAAGAAAGTCCTGCTAAATCCTACCAAATCAGAGCTCCATTTGAATTAACCTAAGCAAACTATTTCCTTTGAAACTTAAAAAAAAAAAATGATGGTCTCCCTAAGGCGAATGAAAAGTTGTTCATAGAGAACAATTTTGCAGCATTCTGTGTTGTCAACGTTCATATGTGCTTTTATTGTGAAATGCCAACTGCGAGACCTTGACAGGAAATGACATAGGGTTGCCAGGGGTAATGGTAGGGCCAAAGCAAAAGGTCTGTGAGACTGGTGATTTACTAAATATTAAACAATCATCGTAATAAAAAATTATTTTATCTTAAAAACCAAATCAGCACAAACAATAGGTTTACCGCAAGTCAAGTAGCACTGGGAAATTAGGCTAGAGCTTAATGGGGGGATAGTTGACTTCTGGATGGCCGGGAAAAATAATCTTTACATCCCTGAAACAACATCAACTCATATGATCTTCTGTTTTTTCTTTTTGAATTTTACAACTAACCATTTTAAATGCACAAACCTGCACTAATGAAGCAATAACCACTTATTCTATGCTCACATTTAAACTCCTCTGATAGTTGGCACATTAGCAAAACCTTTAATAGAGTCACATTTCAGAGTTACGCATCTTTGCAGGAACTTGTCAATAGGTATGAATCAAATGATGTCAAAGGACCTGTGTGAATATATGTATAACTAAACTTTAGCAGCAGATACGTGAGGTGTTAGGCTGAGGATCCACTCACCTTTTCAGTTGTTTAATACACATAATGAATCAGCCACTCACTTGGCAGCAATTTAAAACATTAAAGCTTTCTGATGTGATAAAAATTACTTTCTGCGGTTAAAAAAGGTTTGTTTTACAGAAACATTTGATATACTGATATTATCACTTATACCTTATTTTGAACCAAGGATACTATTTATATGGGTACAGTATAATTTGACAATAACAGATTGAAAACCCCCAAACAGAGCATAGACATGGTTGCATCCCATTTAGGCTTGTTTTGTATATGCTATAACCTGGATGACTGAGATTTTGCACAAATAAATTTGGGCTGATAGGGTTTGCATTTGAAATAAGCAACATAAAAGCGTGGATGCCCCCTCCCCCACCCTCTATCAACAGTTTAGACTTGTGTAAACGTAATGAGGATATTTTCTTCAGCAAACTTTGCAAATGAAGTAAAAAATAGTTAACATCTACCAGAAACAGTTGTAAAACTCTTTTCAAAGCATCTTCCATTGGTACAGATTTTTTTAAAGCAGCTTAAAAAGACACAAAAACATCTGCATCCCTGATTATCTCATTATTTGCAAATGGTAGTGTCATTGCGGCTGCAATCAGCGACACCGAGATGATCTAGGTTTGCTCAGGTTCCAGACACTTTTTTTTTAAGGTGAGGAGGGTCGGTGTTGATGATGACACTGAGGCAGTTGCTAAATCAGCCATCACTCTCTATGCTAATTTCATCCATTTTGTTTTTAATGAACTGATTAGCGTGTGAGCGAACAGGGGGTAATTATTCTAATTGAGGAGAGAGACAGGAGCAAGGCAGGGGGTGAGGATGAGGTGTGCTGCAAGTGAGCTGGATAGATGAGAGGTGTCTATGTCAGTCTGTCTTTGTGTGACTCGGTTTGTCGGTTTCTGGAGGTTTTTATCTGGATAGAGCAATCACTAAACCTGGAGAGACATGTATGTGATTCACTTCATGATGTGCTGTCAAGCCCAAACAAATGAGCTGTGAAGCCTTTATTTTCCACGCAACTGAGAGAAGTTTGGCAGAAAGTTAAAGACGAAGGAATCCGAGGAGACATGTTTAAAGTAAGACACTATTATGGAGAAATAATTACAGGGCTTAGTCTGGAGGAGAGATGTATTATCACTGCCATCTAAGATCCATTTGATTTTTCCTATTCACTTCCATATGTACCAGAGTCTGTTCCTGGCAATAGTAATCTGTCCAGAATAAAGCAATGTGTTATACACATACTTGGAGATTCCCATGCTTCCCGTTGCCCTACTTTTCTCTACACTTTGAGCTAGTTCTTTAATTCTCTACAAGATATTCCCATAAGGAGGTACATACAGACAGCTTATCGCAACTAATTTGGTGATGCTTGAAAAAATCCTGGCACAGGGAACTGAGAAAAAAGTTGGTGGATTTATCACAGCATCGCAAGCCAGAGAATGAACAGGAGACAGGCATGTGCAGCGTGCCAGAAAGATGGACAGAGGAAGTGTAGCAGGAGGGGGGAAATGACAAATAAATAGCTGTGTGTGAGTGCATTTCTTTTAACCACTTTTTTAGAATCCCCTGCTCCCTTGCTGTATGATGAACGGTAGGCAGGGGACCTGAAGGTTGCACTTTGCCTTGGACGACTCTCCGTCATGCTGTCCTATTTTTAATTTCATGGCATTTCTGTTCGAGTTGCCTCAGGCTGGAGCCATACATGGGCATTATACAACAGTCTCAGTGTGCCATTTCTTTGAATTATATTTGTCTTGTAGTGGCATTCACATTTCACTGTGAAATTAACTGCGTTTCCATGACTGCACCCGTAGCCTACATAATGGCATGCATTACCGTTCTCCACCATCTGACTACATCGTCATGAACTACAAGCGGATGGGAGAAAAATAAAAACAATACCCCAAACAGTGCCTTTCCTCTTGATTGTTTTTTTTTTTTTTTTGTGTATTTTATTTTTCCTTTTGCTCAAAGGTTACAATCAGCCGAGGAAAAAATTGAAGGGAATACTGTGAAATGCGTTACGCTATAAAGAAATGACAGAAGAAAATAACCCCATCTGAATAAACAGTAAATATTCTGATTTCAGATGTTATTGGATTCTGAATTTGAATGTAACACCTTTTGTGTGCTCTGTTTCTGTGCTTATGCCGCCTGCGTTTGGGGTAGATTTACAGTGATATTTATTGTTATGTTTATTTTTTCTATATTTGTGCTTTGCAGCGACCATGGGCAACCACCTCCTGACAAACCCAGTGTTACAGACCCGCTCTGGTACCTCTCCCTACAACACTCTGCTTGCTGAAAGCTTCACCCCTCCCTCACCTGGAGTCTTCAACTCTACAGGTTAGCTCCTCACAAAAACCTCAGTCTGTGTGGACTATCTTGTCAACGCAATATGAGCTCAACTCGCCATCCTTCTTGCTGTCAGTAGTTTGACATAAAAGATGCGCACCCGTTGGTGTTGAGGGTTTGCAAGTGTGTGTTTGTGTGAGAGACTTTTCCTCGTATGTGTGTGTGCTTTCTCTTTCCCCAGACTATGTAGCTGTCAGACGGATTCACTAGGCTGAGCAGAACAGAGCCAAACAGTGCCTACAGCCTAACCAGCCATCTGGTCAGATCTTGAATCTTCATGAGAACAGCCACAATTTGATTAGAAGTTTAGCTACAGCTGTGATTGCCAGCTTCCTTGAGGAAGATTTTCCTGTTTTTTAAAAACACAGCAAAAATAGTTGGCCGAAACCATGACGTCCGTAGAAAGGATCAGAGTCAATGTGTTCTGGGGTGTCGACGGTCCATCTGGATGATGGTCTGTCATATGTGTGCTCATTGTGGAAGCTGCACCTTTTGGATGCCACTTGCTGCAGATTTAGTCAAATATGCAGATATTTACAATGTTAAACTGCTGCTGGTTAATGGTTTGCTTTCAGTGGTTTTAGACTTCGATGAAAGTTGGAAGAGTTTTAAGCTGCTAAATATTTGATGGCTTCTCTGTACAATGTATCAAGCTTTATGGCCAAAGGCCTAGCAGCCGAGTCATTTTTAGAAGAGAGTAGTATAGGATGGACTGAACACTTCATTAGAATGTTTAATTACCCACACCGCCACCAAAGACGGAGGGTGATTAAAGTCAAACTATGCATTAAAATTTAAGTATTAACAGACTTCACTCTTTCCATGTAAGTGGGACTTTTTCTTTGCTGTTAAGAAACCTCAATAAAAGCTGAATGTTTTTTTTCCTCCATGTGTTTTTTTTTGTTTGTTTGTTTTTTTTTTCTGGTGTATCATAAACCAATGTAGATTACTCTTACAGTTGTAAATTGGTATTCTAAATATCTGGAGGTTAAGAGCGTTACAGAGGATGTGTTGGATTGGTCAAAACACCTGCTATAGGAATCCCTGTTGTAGTCTGAAGCATGTAAAGCTAACGTTGGTTATGAGGTATATATGTGATACTACAGCCATGTTGTTGCCCCTAAGAAGAGGGGTGATAATATTGGAAAATGAATTAGGACTGTAACAATTAATCAGATTAATCGTGATTATTGGATTACTGAAATAATCGTTAACTAATTTAGTAGTCGATTAGTCGTTAACTGGAGTACAGAGACTCTAAAACATACCTTTAGATGACAGAACGACCCACTTAGAGCAGTTATTATACCACAATTGTAAAAAAAATATGTACAAACATTTTGCATTCAAGATAAAAAATAATAAAATATTCGTCTGTCAATATGCTCTATCAAGAACTCATCATTGGGAAGTTGAGTTTCACCTGGTTTAATTTATAATGTTATTTATAACATATATTATGTTTAATAATAGATCAAGTTGAAGGCAAATAGATTTTTTGTGGTTTGTATTTATGGATAGAAAAATAGAGTGGGCTTATTAGAAATATACACTTTTCTCATTTAGTTTGCAAAAAACTTCCCTTCTACTTACTAACAATGTCCTGCTCTTTGTTAGTACAATACATCAAATCACAATAATTACTCTGAGGGCACTGTATCTCAATTTCCACATAATTCTAATGTAATCTTACTTTAGCAGAATTTCTGGAATGTCTGAAGTTTAGATGATTTTCTTTGGAGAAGCGTTTTCTCACAGTACTTTTTCTTACAATCTGTCACTCAGCTCTCTAGCTGCATCTCTCTCTTGGTTCAAGTTATTGCGAGGAGAGTTGCAGGGCTGGGGTCATTTATTTTGTGCTGAAAAACATAAGCACTTGGAAAGAGTTGAAAATGGAGCTCTTATTGTTTTATTTACTCCTCTTTTTATTATCAACTAAGTGGAGCTCTTCTCACTGTTAAGTTAGGAGTCTAAATATGCACAAGACTGTTCAAACACAGCCGTAAGAGTCAGTAGAAGTCAAGTTTAATTATTCGCCCTCCAAGTCAGTGGAAAATATTGGTGTTCTGCTTGCTTTTAAACTTGAAAAACACGTTAAAAGAGGTAACACTAAAGACATGATGCGCCATGATGATGAAGGATGTTTGCAGAAGCTGGAGAGATTTAGTCAAATTTAATCCCTCGTGTATTTTCCACAACTAATCTCATCTAACACAAATATGTGAAAGCAGCATAGCAGGTGTTGTTGCATGTGTTAAGCGTTGGTTGCACGTTGAAATATTAAGACAAAGAATTGAACAGACTGTTGTACTCTCATGCCATGATTTTTTAAATCTAAAACTAGATTTGTTTTTCTCCCTGTGTTCCTGTCGCTCATTCTGTCTCTTTATTCTACATGCTTTTCTTTGGAATCTGCAGGAACCTTCCGTGACCCAAGTAAGTATAATTAACATGTCTCAGTTTTATTTATTTTTCATTTATACATATGAAGTCTCAGCATATAAAAATAATGCAAAATCTGTTTTGTCTGTTTTGGATGCAGAGAGTACACTTTCTAAGCCCCGAGACCCCTGTGGAATGGAGACCCTTCCCTTAAACGGCAACTTCAACAACAGCTACTCCATACGAAGTGGCCCGTCAGGTGGGGGCGGCGGCGGCAGCTGTGATTTTCTAGCCGGAGGAGGGGGAGAAACTCCCCCACCTATCTTCAACCCGCGAAGTTCAGAAACGCTGGGAGGTGGAGGCACACGGCGAAACCTCACGGATGCTGCAGCCTTTGAGAAAATGATCATTTCTGAGCTTGTCCATAACAACCTGAGAGGAGGTGTAGGCGGAGGGCCTGTAGGGGGTGGAACTGATGTAGGGGACAGAACGTATGCCAGTCTGGTGAGGGGACATCCTCACTGTGGAGGGGGCCGAGCAACAACTTCAGGTGGACCAGAACCTTCAATCAGCATGGATGAGGACGATGAGTTTCTCAATGATGGACGGCAAAGAACACCTCAGGATGTAGAACTCCTGTATAAAGCTCTAGAAGAACCCCTACTGTTGCAGCGGGCCCAGTCGGTCCTCTATCAGAGTGATCCAGAGGAGTCGGAGAGCTACACAGCTGACCTTACAGAGAGCCTTGGCAACAGCGGTCAGAGCGGTGGTGGACAGGGAGACAACAGAGCGCCGGACTCACCAGCCCATGACTCCCTGTACACTAGCATCACCAACCTGCGAGACTCTCCCTATCCAGACAGCAGCCCTGAGCCGCTTGAGGTTGTGCCCCGTTCAGCTCAGCCCCCTGAAGAGCTGTACTACAGCTCTGGGAGGCCTGCCCTTGGTTCTCGTGGGGCTCCCATGCAGACCTTCTACCAGGCTCCACCTCAAAGACCCAGCGGGGAGGGACAGCAGGCTCAAGAGCCTGCCCACACTGAGGGAGACGGACAGATGCAACTGGTCACCAGCCTGTGACTGGAGCCTGGAGGAGGGAGCTGGAAACTATTGTGATAGCCAGAGCCTCCTTTAAGTGGTCTCTTTCTCATGTGTCTCCACTATCTGCTTATTTGGTTGCCTTTATTTCTCTTGACTTTTATTTAACTTGCATATTTAGAAAACTGACCGACCTTCTGGGGGAGGCACAGCTAACTCTGCTGATGAAGCCTTTATCATCATCAACTCTCCCCAATCGTCTGGATATGAGTGATGGGTGTTTTTCATCAGAGCGTTTGAAACCTCTGTGGCCAAGTCCAGCACTCTGAATGTACCCCCTCCCCCACTTTACCCTTGGATATTTCAGAACTTTGCTTTTTTTATGTGTTCAGATCTGCCTCAGGAGATGAGGATGTTGTTTTATATTTTGTCTCATTTCCCTTTTCTTACCATCTTTTGATCTTTTTTTAAAAGCCATTATTTGATAGGGGTAGTTAGCTGTGCAGACAGGGAATATTGTACACTATTATTACCTGAAATGTCTCACAGAAAGCTCTTCATCGTTGCCAAAAATATCTTTTATTGAGCCAGAACAGAAACTAGAACATTCACAAGCCACACAAACACACACACACACATCCTGAAGTGCTTGTTTCTGAACATCAAAAGCAAAGACAGCACTCCGTTTAAGTAAACGGGAGCAAAAGGTTTTGTTCCAAGCAGGCAGAGGAAGCCGATTCAGTGTAGTTGCCTTCATTTAGTCTTGCTTTGAATCAGAAGTGTACAGAAGTGGAGTACAGGTGGAGACAGAGACTCAGGAGGTGCTGTATCATCATCCATCCAGAGCTGGAGAGCCTGCACCCATAATACTGGGATATGCTCTCTGCTGCTCTCTGTGTTTGCTTTAGGCCTTTGAAATGTTAAATGACTGCCTTGCTGTTGTTTAAAGAGAGTATTCAGTTTCTAAATCCCGGGGCTGCAAATGCACATTGTTGCCCTAATCCCCTTGTACTTCGCTGTTAGAGCCTAGAGTAAAAACGGACTACTTGTGTGTTTTTGTGGCAAACAGGACTGCAGATGTCACAGACGCACTGAACGACAGTTGGTATAACCCTGTACATAGCGAACCACACATGAATCTACTTTATTCCTATTATGTAAATACAGACACCAGATGATCAAAAGCAACAAAAGGTAATAAATACTATGAAAATGACTTCTTGTACTACAACAAATTGTTGAAGGAAAAGAATAAAAATGCTTTGTGACCTGGATGAAACACTCTATCTCTCTACCCCAGACCATAATCTCTCACTCTTATTCATTTTTTGCCGTGAAACTTCTTATCTATCCAAAGAAGAGAGGAAGTCAGACAAAGAAAAGGGGGCAAGAGTCATTAAGATGTAAGGAAATATTTAGTGATTTAAAAGAAAAAAAAAAGCAATGAAAAAGTTCTGGCATAATTCTAAACGTGATAACATCCAACACATCAAGTTTTAACCGTTAACATTCCACGGGTTGAATTTCCAAAGCCAGTTGGGAGATAGGGCTGCGGGGCAAGCGAGATAGATGTTGTCAAATGTCATTCTGTTCCTCATGAGCACGTTGAAGTACTCTGTGGCGAGCAACGACATCCATGACGTGATTCGGTTTTGCTTTTGTATTATTTGGAAAATTTTAATCAGATACAATACCTTTAACATGGGTTTTAGCATGTAAAATAATGGCATTTGTTTT